TGGGCTAGTTGCATTTCTGAATATACCATTTCCACTTAACCAAGCAGGTATTGTTAGGCCCTTTCCATCTTATTAATCAATGGGTCTGAGTCGTCTCACCCCAAAATGGAAATATCAGGCTGGAGAGTCACAAGACTTTCATGGGTCAGGTATTTAATTTTGAAGGAGCATAATAGCAAGCTAAAAAGTCTTTCAGTCAAGGTGATTTGACAGCTGTGTCAAGAAGGTGATGAGTCCAGACCTCAACAAAGACTTCTGGCTGAAGGCTGACCCCCTTTATCAGAGGCTTCAATCACCACAGACTATCAGACATGGAGACCTGCAGCTCAGAGAGGTAATGAGGGTTGTGGGGCCCCTTAGGTACTTGCACTTACCTACTTATGGCTGTTACTGATCAGGAGGACTTTCTGGCACTTCCTGGACAAGGCAGTATGAGCACATCAGTTTGTAATGTGTATTCAGATGTGGATATGACAAAAAAAAACCCACACTGAATTGGCCAAAAAGACCACAAACACAGGTCACACTTGCCTCCCTTCTCTACTCTGATTCCTGCCCAAACTCTGTTAACTGAAAGTTTGCATGTTCCAGCCTGACAAGGGCCCTGGGTGTCAGTATACAACAGAGGCATACAATTATAATTCCCTCCCCTCCCCAAAGTCTCTGCCCCCTGCTATGCTTGAGTGGTTGCTTATGGTCTTTGGTTCCTTTTGGAGGCAGGGAGAGCTTGACCTCACCCCTAATCATTTCTTTCCTTAAGGTAGCTGAGATCAGAGTAGAGAGAGAGGAATGGGTCAGGGGTAAGATGGAGAGATTATCTTTCTATCAATAAAGGAGGAGCACTTAATTTTAGTTATGAGCACATAGGGACAGCTCAAACAAATGAACTTTCAATGTATTTGATCTACTCAACACTCTAATAGGTGGCAGAGTCCTCGTTGCTGACACTATCTGTCTCAACTTTGGGGATCCCTTGACCTAGCAGCCATAGCAGCATTGTATTCAAACTGTGGGCATGGATTTGTACCCATTACCTGACATGGGATTGACTGGCACAGGAACAATTTTTTATAAAGGGATGCACCTTAATCTGAGACATTTGGTGCCACATTATCAAGCTAATATACTTAAGTTCTTGTCTAATTTAAATGCAAGAGCTGTAGGAGTTTTCCAAGGCTACAGGTCTGGCCTCAAAAAGTTATCTGCAATGTCGGTCTCTCATTCTCCAGTGAGTCACTCTCATCAGCATTGCAAACCCAAATCAGGGGCATCAAAAGCCCAAAGATTAGTCAATGCCTGTATTCATTTGTGAGGGCTTCCCTGATAAAAAAACCATAATGCCTGGGTGACTTAAACAACAGAAATTTATTGTTTCTTAGTTCTGGAGGCTGCAAGTCCAAGACCAAGGTGTCAGCATCGTTGGTTGCTTCTGGCGGCTATTGAGAAAGAATGTGTTCCATTCCTCCCACCTATCATCTATAGGTTTGCTGAAAATCACCTTAGTGTTTCTTGGTATATCCAACTAATACCGCCTCTCTGCCTTCATCTTCCCATGATGTTCTTCCTGGTGTCTCCATGTTCAAATTTCTCCTTTGCATGGGGACACCAGGCACATGGCATTAGTGGTCCACCATGCTCTAGTATGACCTCATCTTTTTTTTTTTTCTGGAGACAGAGTCTTGCTCTGTCACCAGTCTGGAGTGCAGTAGTTCAATCTCAGCTCACTGCAACCTCCACTTCCTGGGTTCAAGTGATTCTTCCGCCTCAGCCTCCCGAGTAGCTGAGACCACAGGTGCGTGCTACCACACCCGGCTAATTTTTGTATTTTTTAGAGACAGGGTTTCATTGTGTTGGCCAGGATGGTCTCAATCTCTTGACCTCATGATCTGCCCGCTTGAGCTTCCCAAAGTGCTGGGATTACAGGTGTGAGCCACCACGCCTGGTGACCTCATCTTAACTTAAGGCATTGTATTTGCCATGACCATATTACAAATAAGGACTCACTCTAAGGTACTTGAGGCTAAGACTTCTGTGGGAACATAGTTTAAAACATAACAATGCCTCATGTATGCCTTTCTGTGGAACTTTGTTAGCTTTAGAGAAATCTCTCCAAAAGGGACAAAGCTCCCATTGAAGCCAGGACCTACTGAAAAACACTCTGAGGCCTTTGACTATCATCTCTGAAAGAATCCAAAATTGGCACGAAAGACTACAGGAAGGGCTCGGCCTTAAGACAGCCCACCTGTTGCCATTCTTTTTCAACAAGCGTTCTGCACGTACCACCCTCCTCTCTTGAATGAACTAGCCAAGTTCTAATAACTTACCTGGTTTCTGCTCATAGAGACCATGCATTTTCTTCTTTGTGGTCAGTATCAATGCACACCGTATTGGGTAAAGTATACACAATTTCACTTAGGAGAAATAAATTTAAGAGATCTATTGTGCAGTGTGGTGACTATAGTTAATAACAATGTACTTCATACTGGAAAACTGCTACAAGAACAGATGTATTTATTGTATTGTATTGTATTATGTATGTATGTATTTATTTATTATTTTTTAATATGTATTACATTGCATTTTAGGTTCTGGGATACATGTGCAGAACATGCAGGATTGTTGCATAGGTACATACATGGCAGTGTGGTTTGCTGCCTCCATCCCCATCACCTATATCTGGCATTTCTCCCCATGTTATCCCTCCCCAACTCCCCACCTCCGTCATCCCTCCTCTAGTCCCCTGCTCCCCCCCATAGACCTCAGTGTGTGATAAAGAGCAGATTTTAAATGTTCACTCCAAAAAAACAGTGTGTGAGATAATGAATATGTAAATTAGCTTGACTTAGCCTTTCCACAATATATACATATATCAACAGATCATGTTGTATATCAAAAATACGTGCAATTTAAATTTTTCCATTTAGAATAATTACTGGACTAATTTTTGTTTTTAAAATGGATATATCTGTAACTGTTGTCTGAAGAAGGTCAGAACCTTCCTCTAACCCAAGATGGATATGTGTTACAACCTATAAGAGTTTTCCAAGGCTACGGTTCTAACCCCAACAATTTAACTTGTTGACTTGAGGCTTGAGGAGTAGACTTGAGGCTGATGGCCCAGTGGAAGGAGAATCTGCTCACCCAGTGAGAGGTAACAACAACCAAGCCATTGTTTACGTCATTGTCTTTGAACCCACTTTCTGATGCTTGACATGCAACATTTCTGAATTCATTCTTAGTAACAGGCAATAAAATTGGGATCATTTCTCACTTTGCTGATTTATAATTTGGTTACCATATTTGTCATCAATTCCCATAAATTTTTCCCTCTAATCGCATTAATCAGCCCACAATAGCCTTACTCTTTCTCTTCCAGGAAGACAAGTTTCTGTCAGCATCCCATCCTCATTTCCAAACTGTCAATAATAAGGGTCTGAGATTTTACTCTACATGCAAGTTAACCAGCTAGACTGACACAATTTCATGGATGCTGGCAGAAGACATGAGACTCCTGGGTCAGAGAAAGAGAACTTCACTGACTCACACAACTATAGCACCTGACCAAGAGTATCAGCATTATCGTGCACTGGTTCACTGGGTCCCACACAGCAATGTGAAAATAAATAAACTACCCTTGCATACAGTGAATTGCAGTGCAGAAGATAAACCCTAAGTTTAGGAACACAAATCTTTAAAATGGGCAGTAAGCCTGCTTGCTCTTTGTCCTTGGGAGAGACATCATCTCTGTCTTCTAAGACTGCTTGCTATACAAGCATCTTTGAAAAGATGATATAAAACAAAGGCAGTATGTACCACTGCCCTCCATAAAATTCAAGAGACTGTTAGAAAACTGTCTCCCAACAAAGTGTAATGGAGACAAATTTATCCCCTCGCTTATGATATCAACCACTACACTTGGATAAGCCAAGCACAGTTTTATTTCTAAGGCTAATGTTTTGTTTTGTTTTGTTTTGTTTTGTTTTGTTTTGTTTTGTTTTGTTTTGTTTTTTTGAGACGGAGTCTTGCTCTGTCACCAGACTGGAGTGCAGTGGCACAATCTTGGCTCACTCTAACTTCCGCCTCCTTGGTTCAAGCAATTCTTCCGCCTCAGCCTCCAGAGTAGCTGGGACCACAGGCACGTGCCACCATGCCCGGCTATTTTTTGTATTTTTAGTAGAGATGGGGTTTCACCATGTTGGCCAGGATGGTCTCAATCTCTTGACCTTGTGATCCGCCCGCCTTGGCCTCCCAAAGTGCTGGGATTACAGGTGTGAGCCACCACACCCGGCCTAAAGTTAGTGTTTTTTTTAATAAAAGTTTTGACTTTATTTATGGTTTGAAAAACTAAGATTTAAAAAAAAAATTTTAATAAATAAGTAGGCCGGGTGCAGTGGCTCATGCCTGTAATCCCAGCACTTTGGGAGGCCAAGGCAGGTGGATCACAAGATCAGGAGTTCGAGACCAGCCTGACCAACATGGTGAAACCTGGTATCTACTAAAAATACAAAAATTAGCTGGGCATGGTGGCACATGCCTGTAATCCCAGCTACTCAGGCAGGAGAATTGCCTGAACCTGGGAGCTGGAAGCTGCAGTGAGCCAAGATCGTGCCACTGCACTGTAGCCTGGGCCACAGAGTGAGAATTTGTCTCAAAAAAGAAAAAAAAAATGTAAAAATGTTATTACCAAATTTAGGTCTCAAAAAAATTTTGATTTCATGAGTTTTTTTTTGGAAATAGGAGCTTTAGAAAGAAATGTGTTTTGATTTTGCTAGTACATTATTTAACAATAACTTTTTGAAAAGGGATTTTGAATAGATTGACTTGTATCGAGCAAATGCCTGACATAATAGTTGTTAATCCTTGTTTTCCACACTGTTACGCTGGAAGTTTTCTCTCTCTTTAGTAGCAAGACCTACATCAAAGTAAATATATTTGCATAACTTGGGACAATATTGTCTTTTCTTGATTCAAAGTTTATTTTTCTTTTTAAACATAACTCATTTTAAATGTTAAGAAGATTTTTATTTAAACACTTTTATTACAATATTTAGGTGGCAGCAATATCTAACACGCTTTTGAGACAGGAGGTAACATTCTGATAGACTTTGCAACTCTGCCGGAAGTAGAACTCAAAATAAATGTGTCATTTAAAGCAACTATTATAGTAATAATAAAAGGACGATTGTTAGTACAAAGAAGGTTTTCAATGCAAGGTCCAATAGCTATACTTACATAGAGAGAAAAAATGAAATTAGTTACTAAACATAACCAATAAACTGGTATATCTATAGCAATGTGTATTTACCAAAAATTGACAAAAAATATGTTGAGAGGTATGTTAAATATTGCTGAAAAGAAAACTATTGTCTGTATCTGAAACTCCATGAATCACGTATACATCAGGACCCAAAACCTAACTCCTTTCATTCCTCAAAATCAAAAGTGGTCTCATCTAAACCAAAAGTCACAGACTTGTCAGTTATTTATTGTGTTCTCATTTCAAACATTGTTTACTATTTTCTCTCTCTAAACAATAAGTTCTTAGTCAAAATTTATTATTTTGTCCCATCTAGACAATATGGTCTATGGTACTTCGGTCACTAGGGTGGCTGAAGAATACATTCTAGCAAGATTCCCCAAGCTCTCGAAGTATATATGTCTGGTGTGGGTCCATATACACATTTTTGGAGGGCTGGTAGTTTGTCTTTTATCATTTATCCAGCTCTCAAAGTGACATGTGACTCAATAAAAATGAAGACTCACTGGCCAACTGTAGCAGTTTACAAAGTAAAATATAAAGATGATTCACTGTGGTAGGTGAATAAAATACTAGAATTTCTATTCATATTCATGCTCATTTAGAAAAGCTGTCCTAATATGTAGTATAGGGATTGAGAGCACCATGTATCAGCCTACAGAGTTGTTGTGCTACAATATTTTACTAATAGAATGCAGGAATCTAAAAGGTTGGAGAAAAGTGCTCTAGGCCAGTGAATATCAAGTCCTCATATTTTCCAGAACGTCTTTAATTTATATGTGCAAGGAGGTCAAGGAATAGTAAATTCCCAAATCCTGATATATTTTCATTCACTTCTATGTTATAAGATACAGTTTAATGAGGCAAGATGGCAGCTCGCTGTGATTAAACAGTGTCTGGATGCTGCCCATCCCTGCATCACTGGGAATCACTATTTCTAAAGGCCCAGAATTCCCAGACCGCTATTGCCGTAACTTTCCAGAGAGCTTCAGTTTTGCTGCTTTTGTACCAGGTATTTAATACTTAACACATTGGGCTGTCCAATTTCTGTAATAGCATTTTTGTTTTGCTGTGTTTTGTTTTCAGTTTCTCTGAAACTACCTCATAGTTCTTTCCTCAATACAGATGGATTTGGCAGCATTTCAGATGAAACAAACATCCGAGCAGATACTTTAAGATTTGTTCATTATGCGATGTCATTTTCAGCCAAGTAATTTTCCTCACAATCTGGAAGGCTCATTTGCGATTTAATTTTCTGACATTATATAATTTAAAAAATTTAAAAAACTTGAAAGGCAGCCACAACTTTATCTATCTTCAACCAGAATATCTGAGATTAAGTCTGGATATGCCATTTAAATTTTATCCTGATTTCTACCCCAATGTTTAAATCTAAGATATTAACATGTTCATGAAACTAAGTTTATGATGATGGAAAAAACTGTACTGGTGATAAAAGAAGTGTGGCTTTTAGAATATCACATTTTTTTCCTTTTGCTTAGTTTTTTTTTTTTTTATTGAAATCTATACGTTGATAAAGCTTTTGCTACTATTTTGGCAGACTCTGTATATGAAAAGAAATGGACATAAATAACAAGGTAATAGGATAGTTTTAAATGAAAAAACGTGTGGGTTATGCAGGGTAGTCAAAACAGATGCAGGTGTGGCTGTTATAAGCCAAGCTGCTTAGAGGGATATACAGATGGCAATTAAATGTATAGTGCTTAACGCGGCTTAAAATAAGAATACTGAATGAGTGCATACCATCAATATAATAAAAGAAACATTTATAGGAGAGCAACAGTTCATCAAAGATCTAGTAGCTGACATGGTAAGAACAGAAGAAAACCAAACAACACAGATGACAAAGGACTAATTGCCTTCGTTACTGAAATCTTACGGCTTTAGTAATTGATCCTTCTTCTTCTCACCAAAGGATACAAATATTTCCCAAGTCTTGAAAAGTATCCTAAGAAGGACCATAAACTCTAACGTTTGTAAATTTTGGTTGAAAAGGACATTCGGTTTTCTCTGCTTAGTAAGTTAAGCAGTCCCTGCTTTTAGCCTGTGTTTTGACAAGTGAACTGCACTTCCCTACCGTCTCTGCAGCCCTGAATTTCTGTTTTGGAGGAGATGGTAAGTCCCTCCTCACAGGAACTGCAAGGCGTCTCTGCCCTCCCACCTCTCACATGTGCCACGTTCTCCATCTCTGCACCCTTCAAGTCGGCCTCCGTTTAACTGTCCAAGTGCAACCACCTGAAAGTGAAATAGCATCAAAGTGCAAAATGAGGTGACATCAATGATCTGTTTTATTGTTCAGTGAAAGGTAGTGATCAAACAAGCTCCTCAACAAGTATGTGTCAAATATTCCATTTTACTTATTAATAATGATTTATGTAGGTCAAACCCATGCACCTGATACTACTGCAGTAATTCATTAACCGATTCTGCTTGGGGCTACTAACATTTCATCAACAGGGGCTTGACGGTGGGTTTAAAGCATTCTGCGGCACTAGACTTCATTGGGGCTTTGCATGTGAAGCTCCATCTGGGCAGTTTTCCAGCTGGGTAGTCTCTGAGAACTGATTCCTCAGACACCACTGGGACTAGACACTCTTGTTTATTCATCTCTGTCATTTGTGAGGCCTACCACAGACAACCACCCTCTTCCATCCCATGCTTTCTTCTCACCTAACCTGAGACAGGGCTGGGAAGTCTTTGCCTTGCTGTGGCTGGAAATATCAGGAAGAAGAAATTTGGCAGACAGGTTAGTTAAAATGCTGAGGCAACTCTTCTTCCCTCCCTACCAAAGGATCTGAAAGACTAATGGCCTTGAGAATGCTATAAAATTCCAAGGCCAGACATTCCAGCTTTTTGCTCATGTTTGTGGCAAAATATCCAGGATATAAAATAAATCATTTTCCCTTGAGCCATAAACAGATGTTTCTTTAGTCACCCAGGCAAGTAAATACCCATCCTGTCTCTCCTTATCTATGGATACAAATATTTCCCAGGTCTTGAAAATTATCCTATTTCTGATAGTCTTTGGAAAACACACATCTGATCATACCATTCACTTCCCTGAAGACTTGATCCCTCTCTTATCTAGTAGCTTTAAAACAGTTGGAGAGGGAAACAGAAGCCAATGGATCTGATTTTTCACGTTTTACTGCTTCTTTTTGTTTCTTTTGTAAGATCTATTTTGAAAAAGTGCCTCAAGTGAATAATAGCTCTTATTATAGTTAATATTACTATTATGGTAATAATGTTGATAACTATTTAAGGTCACATAAAGCTGTGTCATGTATAGTTATTAATTACTATATATTAATGTTACAATAGTAATATTGACAACTCTCATGGCACACCTCTACGTGACACACATAACCCTTGGTGATTTTTGTCCAGATGGTCTTTTGTCCTTATTCTCCCTCCTCCCAACTCATCCCAGGCAACTGACTGTCCAGAACATGCTACACACCCCCAAGACTCCATCTCTTTGTGTGTGGTAATTTATCTGTCTAGACCATGCCCTTCCTCCTCTCTGCTTGATGAACTCTAAGACCAAAGACTTCTCTAAGCAGAGTCCCCGACTTTCTGCTCTCACAGAATGTTGTAATTATGTCTTCTATTTGTCTTTTACTTTCCTTTCTTGATTTTGGGCCATACTTTACCTTTAAATTTCAAAAATATTGCAATATTCCTGGCACATAGTAAGTATTCAATAATTCTGGATGAATGAATAAATGAAAACGATAAAACGAATCTATTTGTATTCTGGTTTTCTTAAATATACGCTTTGCATTTTCTGACAAAATCTAGATAGATATAAAAAGGCAAAGCAAAATGGGAAGAAACATTTTAATTCTGTATTTCCCTTTGCTTCCTGATGCAAAGCATCTTTAGAAAACTTCAGTATAACTCTGTGCTTGCTTGAGAAATATGTTTAAGGAGCTAATTTATATAGGGCACTTGACACACAAAAAATAACAGAACAAGAAGCCATGAATGGAAACCATATCATCAGAACAGAAGGAACAGCCCCTGAATTTTCAGGAGAAACAGTCTGTTAGGGAAGCAGTCTTGAGACCCAATCTTATTTTGGGGATAGTTAAATGGCAACATAATTCAGTACCCATAGTTCCCAACCTGATTACAGGCCCTGTTTGTCCACTTTTTTTCCATCCTCAATAACTCACAAGCTCTGACTTTGTTCCCTTATTTATTTTAAGAATCTATGTTCTCTACTCTGGCTACCATCACTGGTCTGGATCTGAAGCAGATAAGATAGGGAAGAAAGAAATTCCTTAAATGTTTTAGCAACTAAATTGTGAATTTCATATGTACTCTGTCATGGAAATGTATGTTCATCTTCTTTAAGATCCATAGATTATTCTATATTTAATGGGCCTTTGTAAGCTGGTCTGGGGAATCGACCACAGATGATTTAATTTCTCTGTGAAAAAGTTTTTGGTAGTTTTTTATTTAGATAAAATGCCAAATTTATAGAAAAGTTGCATGAATAGTACAAGAAACTCTCACGCAACTTTTCATCAAGATTACATACATTTCCCGTTTGTTTTGTATATATGCTAATCTATCACAAACACAGAAAATACTTTCTAAATTCTAACTGAATTATAAACTTTTTGAGTACAAATCACTAGCAAATTGAGGTCTGCAGAAATGTTTGATCAAGACTACATTCCATTTTATGCTTTTACATTTTCTTTGTTTCTATTATTTCCCCATAAGAGTTTGGTCCTAGAAGGAAAAATGTATTTATATTTTTATTTTAATTGTAAGTAGTGATTTAACTTCGTATATTTGTGAGGCTGTAACTATACTTTCTCAAGGCCTATGGTACTTTCTAATAATAGGGTGAGTGTTCATTGAGTCAAAGTCAGTCCTGTAAGACACTGGGTTAGCCCTTAGTAAACAACATTATTGTATTATCTATAGCAGTACCCTCGGAATACTAGAGGCCAATCAGTAATAACTATTCCTGATGTCACTGTGGGGAAGCCTGGGCACAAATGAAGGCAATCAAAGAATTTTTAAACTGATTCTCAGAACCCCAATTAAGAGTTTAGCACATCTATGGCTCTGCTAATATTGATTTTAAAACCGTTTAACGTTCATCTTTTTCTTGCTTTAAATTTGAGCTTTTAAAAATCAAATCCTTATGCCCAACCAAACTGTATATATTTTAGTTCACCAGAAAACTTCAACTGACATAATTAAAATTAAAAGATCATAGCTGCTTAAAGGTTTATGTAAAATCAAAGAAAAAAGGTGAAGCTCTAGAAAAAAATATCAGAAATTTCCATAATGTAGTCACTGCCTTATTTGCTTTATCAATACTGAGTCTCTTAAAAAAATCAAGATATTTCAAATAGAATAAACAAACTTATATGTATATTTAATGATGAAACAAAAACTTGATTCTTAAACATACACCAAAATGTTCATCTCAAATACTCATGAAAAATGAGATACCCACAAAAGAACAAGTCTTATTTCTACTTCCGTACTTAGATTTTCTTCTTAAAATTGTAAATGGCTCATCATGGCAACAGAAGATGTCTGCTGAAGTAGGTCCACATTGCTCCAAGTGTGCCTGCATGTATGTGCACGTGTGTGAATGTTTTACCAATGTCCTTTATGGTGGGTCCTCTGGATCATTACTTTATTCCCATGTTGCTTTCAGCTAAATTAGATTAGAGTTATATTACTGCAATTTAATACAAGATACAAACCTCTTTTTTCTTGAATACTTAGCTATCGTTATAGTAAAATGAATTAATAGGAATTAAATCACTAATATGAATTAAAATAGCCTTTACCATTGTAGAATTTAAAAAAGTCAAACAAAAGAAATATTTATTGTTATAACACACATTACTATGGAGAGTATTTGTAACTTCAAGAACTAAAAATAATATTTGATATTTACAGAACTATTTTATATTCATATAGCATCTAACCCCTAATTGCTTATTTTCTAAAAAGAAAAAAAGAAGAAAATACAATAGAGAAAAAAAGGTCACCCTATATTCAAACATATGCTAACAGTTAAATGAGAAAATGCAATAAAATGCAGAGTTGAAAGTTTGAAAGAACTTACAGTGTCAAAGAATGTAACTTCTATTCAAAATCCTTTTTTAAGACAACACTATCACAAACACACTTTAATAACCACGGCATTTCACCAGGATATCAGATTGCAGGTGACTCCAGTTTGTACAATTAACTACAATTATCTGATATATGTACAAGATGCTGAATTTTGAGTACAGATAATAAGTGATGGTTATATAACAGAAATACTACCCAAATAGTAACTTTTTAAGGTTTCTTTCTTTCTTTTTTTTTCTTTTTAACAGAAGAGCTGTAGTACTGAAGTGAACACATTTTGTTAGGTTAAATGAAAGAAAGAGTAGATTGTGAGTTGGCTCCTGAAATTTTAACACTGCTCGTTAGCCATCTACAATCCTAAAGTGCTTTCAGAGGGTCCACACATCTTCAATGAGTGAAACCCCAAAGACTTCTAAAGAAGCATATAGGTTGCTAATCTATTCCCGACGCTTTGCCTAAAAAATTGGCATTGCCATCTTCCACATTTTTCTTTTGGAACCATGGCTTTGAGTTTGTTCCTTGTTGGTAAGCATCCAGGAAATGGCAGATTCCAGGAATTTCACTGGGGAAGTTCGGTGGGAGTTCCTCCCTTGATCGAGGGGTAAACACAAAACCAGGGCAGTCTTTGAGTAATCTGAAAATATTAAAATAAAAATACTGACATAAATGTTTGTCCACTCAAAAAAAGAGGACAACTTAACTAACTGAATGTTACTGAGAATATTAATAAACCAGTGATTTTAGGTGTGATTGACAGGAAAAGACTAATGAAGTTAACAGACATCTTCACAGAAGTACAGTGAAGAATCAATTCACAATCAGAAAATTGTGTCAACTAATGTATTTCACTTACACTAGAACCAAATTATAAAATATTTTTGCAAAGATGATATCCACATAACAGTGCAATTTATAGTAGTGAAAAAATAATCCAAAGATTTAATGATAGCAAAATATCCACACATTGCCATAATAGTATTAAGATTTCCTAAGTTGAAAGAGGTAAGACATCCATTTATCAATTTATTAATTTTGTAAATTTTACTATAATCACAGACAAAAAAAGTAATCATGTGGGCAAGAAATTGTGAACCAAAATTACGATGACAAAAATGATATGAGAACAACTTTTGAATATTTCAATAGAATTTTTGTAAATTCTAGATTTGTAAAAATGAATCAAATTAAGACTCAAATGAGATTTAATTGTACATATCAGCACTCTACTTACTAATTGTTATTAGCAATATTTTTTCTCCCGAAATTCATCTTTTCACCAAATTATATTATTTGCTATTTTACTACTTGTTCATTATGCTAAACCCATTTTAAATTCTAATCTTACTGATTAAGCTATTGGCACCTCTTCCCATTTGCTTCCCTAGCTTTCCATCAAATGCGAACCTAATAAGCCTCTCTAATCTAATATTCAGGCCATGCATGAAAAATGTCACATAGTTGTGGGCTCTCAACCAGCTTCTACAGAGAAGCATGTATTATATTTACCCAAACAGATCATGGTCTTCTACTCACCAGTCTGTAATGTCATGTCTAAATTAAATACAATAATGATGTTGAATGAGATTTTGATGCTGTGACATCTATCTACTGAAGAAACCAACTGAATAGAAATCTGTCTCAAGAATGACAGTTTAATTTTCATCAATACATCAATAAATATGTATCTGCAAAACAAAACTAATAAAAATGATGCCTTAGTCATGAATTTGTAAATATTTTCGAGTGACTATTATTTGAGAATATATAATGAAAAGTTATAGAATCACAGTTTAAAAGTATAAGCTTCAAAGTCTGATAGATCTAGCAGAAAAGATGTCCATTATCCAGCCTCTAAAATGTGGATAATAATAGTACATATTCCTTAGGACAGTTGTGAAAATTAAGTAAACTGATTTTTAAAAACTGACTAAGCATCAGTTAGAAATCACACCATACCTATCATATTGGTAACAATAAGTTTGACAATATCAGGCTTTGGGGAATAGCACCCCTCATACACTGTTGATAGAATGTAGATTGGTAAAATCAATTTGAACAGCTAATTAATGATTAGTAAGGTTGAAACTGGGTATAGCATATGGTCTGGGAATGCCATTTTTAGTTATATTATCTAAAGACATATCTATAAAGATATTTATTGAATCACTTTTTGTAATAATGAAAAATTGGATACACTCTAATTAACCATGGGTAGAAGATGGAGTCTGGCTTATTCATACTCTGGAATACATATTATATCACATGCACATATAGTAACATGCTGGATCTAGTCCATACTGGCTTGTGAGAGCCAATTGTTAAATACTCAGAAACTCTGTAAGACAGTTAAGCCCTCCGTAGCCTGAAAGCTGCCAAAGTGTACATGGTAACACCACAGAAATTGGCAAATGCTAGAATCATGGATTCTCTAGCTCATCCTCCAAAGCTGGTTTACCAGCAAACCACTCCATTAGCAATAGTTAAAATGAATGATCTAGATTTATAACTAGATTTATGTTTTATCAAGGAAACTATCTCAGAAACATAATACCGAATGGATTCAAGGCAGGTCATAAAAGGATATGGACATGTTGATTGGGAATCTATTTTCCTCTGGCTTTATTTTTCTACCTGGAAGGACCTAAATGAAAGTAATATTCCTGCCTCTCTATCCATTTTCCTTCCTGGAAAGCAGAAGTGACATCTTATTGATGAGTTGTGGAGAAGCTGCTGAACATGCATCTCTATTTGGGAGATTGTCTGCAGAGAGTATATATTCTCAGCTCCTATAAACTATAAAGCACAGAGGATCCATTGTGTTAGAGTATGTGACAGGCACCATGTAATATTTTATATTTATATTTTATTACATTATATTCATATCTATTTACATTATTTTATTGTTTTTATAAAACAGAAACCTGAAATGAATATGGCAAAATGTTGATATGTAAATATTAGTATTGGCTATATGAATGTCATCTTGTTTGCTTTGTTATTTTTCTATATGTTTAAAAATTTAATATACAAATGCATAAAACTATGAGTCAAATAAATAAAAATGTATAAAACTATAGGTGATTGATAAACTTATTTTTTCTACCTATGACAACCCGACATTTCCTACTAAATATGGTCATTAGAATCACAATATCTTATTTAAATGTATTATATAAAAATATTCAGCCTTTACAAGTGGCTTTAAAGTGCATCATCTGAATTTATTAAGGGCCTTGCTCTAAATCACACATCTGGTAAGTGCTGTGTTTAGGACTCTAAGGCATGTCATCTGAATACAAATTCTATGCTTTTTAAAGAAACTTAACAGACAAACATAATTAGAATGTCATGGAGTTAGAAATATCCATTATATTGTCTTTAAAAAAATCAGAATATTTAAAAAGAACCATTTAGAAAAACAAACCATTTAGATGAAAGCTTGATGATAGTAACACCCAAAAAAGGCAGCAATAGCCTAGATGTCCTCATAGGGTGGACATTTTTCTCTACATCTTCTTCAGCAGACATCATTTTCCCCAAATTATTGCATCAATTCTCCTATTCTCTGTTATGTTTCTTATATTCCTTTATTCACTCTGTTGTTCTTTCTTCTTACAGAATTCAATTCTTGCTTTTCTAGCACCGTGTGCTCAGACTTGTCCTACACACAAGAGGCCCTAGGCCTGTTTACCCCACACGCTGGCCAGCATCCACACGTCCTCCCCACTTGCCATTTTTGTTTCTCATGATCCTTGGATCACCACATAAACCTCTGTCATTAATCCACGACTTGAAACTTTAACAATATCTAATGTAGTCTCTATTCGTTTTCCTCACTTCAAAAAAAGCCAACAAAATGCAGAGTATTATCCCCGAAAATTAGAGTAAAACTCTTTACAATGTTTAAGAGACAGGAATGTACAATTGTCATTACACTGCCACATTCTGAATCACTGAGTAGAATTTGGAAGTGGAAATCTGAAGATAAACATTTTTTTTTGGTATATGTATGTATTCTGTGTCCTAAATTTACCTGTATTTACAAATATATTAAGGGAGCTACATTCAATATTAAGCAGATTATTTTATTACTAAAGAAATATCATTCCAGAATTTAATGTATTGCCAATAAAACTCTCCAAAGAAAACTGCATTTATATTTGCACACCTTCTTTAGCATCCATTTCTTGTCCTATACTTTGAGTAAAACTAAAATTATGCTCCCTACTATTGACTAAATTTCCCAAAGCATGGATGTTTAATTGAAATTTAAATTATTTATATTAAGTTTTTCTAGCATATGAAAAAAAGTGAAGTGTCTCTCTAAGAAAGGAATTTAAAATGTTGTTAAAAGTATTTCACATTAAGTATTTATATTTGCATAAATAAAACAGTATTAACTACTGCTTTCCCTTAGGCAAGACATAGATATCTGAGAGGCAAGACATAAATATATGAGAATAAAAGGACAGTAAATTAGTATTGAAATCAATACAAAAGGGAAAAAAGCCATATTATATTTGTCTATAAAAAGTAGAAATGACTTTAGCAAATAAGCTAAATAAAGTTTAATATAAATTAAACTAAAATTTCAATATCGTTCATGTATGTGCATATCAACATAACTGAAAAAAAGAAATGTTAACAGTTACTATCTCTAGGTAGTGAGATTATGAGTTTTTCCTATTATTTAGTAACTTACTAATAATACTTAGTAACTTACTAATTTTGTAAATTTTCTAAAATGGACATGTGTTACTACACTAATAAAAAATTTATTTAAAAAATAACACTATGGCATAAAAATCTATATGTGCATTTCTAGTAACATTCCCAATATAGTGAATCTAAGATTTAAGATATGAGCATTCTTTTGTGGTCAGAAATACATGTCAACATGTCGTGGTCCTCTGCTGAAATACCTGAGATCTTGAATTATATTTTGGAGAAAAATGAGTAGTTAATATCAGTGTCTCCTAACATAGCTCAAGACCACCAGGCTTTGAGATACGAAATGAAAGATTTTTGAAAAAGTTAGTTTTATACTGTTAAAAACAATCAACATAGAAGAAAAAGGAAAATATACTTTTTATATGTAGAGGCTTTGTTTTAAGGTAGGATTCGTCAATATGCACACACCCACATAAAACATCACTGAACACTGAAGGGGAAGCTCAGCTTTCAGTGGAAGGACAAGCAACTGACTCCTGCTTAAAAGGATGATTCTTCTTAATGCCTACAGAGAGAGTGGAATCATATTGTTTCAGGGCATGGATTCTTATCCCTACCTATATTACACCCGATAGGACCATGGGCCAATTACCATTACAATGAACCCCAGGGATTTTTCCAGTTCTCAGGTTATACTGAGTTATTTTCATATCCAGGAGTCAATAATCAACCAGTAAGTACAGAAATAGCTTTCCTTCTGTGTTCCAGGCACTGATCTAGAAGCTGGGGATATAGAATGTGTACCACAGGAAGCTAACATTCTGCAAAGGGAGGCAGGAAATTAACACATAAATACTATGTAAAACAATTTCAGATGCAAGTGAGAACTGAGAAGACAAGATAATGTGAGAGTGTGTGAGGAGAAGGTTGTTGCTCTAGCTATGGTAGTTCAGGAGTGTCTTATTAAAGAGAGAAGACATGATCACTGTAAGGTAGATGGTCTGAGTAACTAGGTGGATGGTGATATCATTTTTAAGGTGACTGGTAAGCTTGCCTGGGTGGGAAGTGGATTTCATCAGTCTGCGTGGGAAATCACTCATTCTAATTTGGTCCAGTTAATTTTAATAGATCAATTAGTCATCCAAGTGGAAATACGGAGTAGGATACATATGTGATCTGTAGCTCCATGGAGAATTACAGGATGGGCAAAAGATTTTTTTAAAAAATGGTTACAGTCATAAAAGTTCAGACGCAGAGGAGAACAGGAGCAGAGGCTCTGGGCCTTGCAGCACACGTTTGGTAGGGAAGGAGTGCCAACAAGACACTGAGAAGGTGAGGACACGGGGTAGTGAGGAAACTAGGTGAGTGCGGTGCCAAAAATTTAAGACATTTTTGTTTAAATGAGGGAGTTCTCAGCCAATTCAAATGCTACTGAGATGTTGAGGACACTCAGGAGAGAAAATTGACAGTGATTTTAGCAAGGCACACTGATGACCCTGATAAGAATCATTTCAGCGGAGGAAACACTGATTGGAGTAGGTTGAAGTGAAAATAAGAGGCGGAAAAAATAGAGATAGTGAATATAGACAACTTCTTTCAGTTCTGCTATAAAAAGGAGCAGAAATTTAAAACTGTAGCAGGAGAACAAGAAACTAGAAAGGTTTTATTTTTTCAAGAGCTTTAATAGATACGGTTGTGTTCTGTCGGGAATATCATTTCATCAGAGAGAAATTGATCATAGAGAAAAAGCAGTTAATTTCAGCAGAAAAGTTATTGAGAAGGTGAGAGGAAATATCACTCAGAGTAAAACTGTATCAACCAGCGGCAGGAGGGGAGCTAGCCCAATGTAAGGGGAACAAAGAAGGAGGAGATAGGTACTCAGGTAGCTCTGCTGAGGGAACCTACAGTGTGCAGATGGCAAAGTTCTTATCTGACTTCTAGTCTAGCTGTGAAATATGAGGCAAGATTATCAACTGAGAGTCTGGGCTGGAAAGGAAAGGATGTTGGTACTTTAAGAAGGGAGAAGGCCAGGTGCATTGGCTCACATCTGTAATCCCAGCACTTTGGGAGGCCAAGGCGGATCACTTGAGGTCAGGAGTTCAAGACCGGCCTGGCCAACACAGCAAAATCCAGTACCTGCTAAAAATACAAAAATTAGCCAGACATGGATGTGGGTGCCTGTAATTCCAGCTACTTGGGAGGCTGAGGCAGGAGAATCACTTGAACCTGGGAGGCAGAGTTTGTAGTGAACCGAGACTGCACCACTGCACACTCCAACCTGGGCCACAGAGTGAGACTTGGTCTCAAAAAAAAGAAGAAGAAGGGAGAAGATGAGAAGATGATATTTATTAAAGAGTTATTTCTGATAATAAAAAAGTTAACTTGCTTGGTGTAATTCAGCTACTCCATAGATCTGAAAACCTTTTTTGTTACTGTAGAGTTTCCAATATAATGAGACAAAATGTATATGATAGATGTATTTCTACTTACCACGGATTGGTTTACTGTCTGGTTAAAGGTGGATAAGTGATGCCAAAATGGCAGATTGTATAGACTCAGGGTGTACACTGTATGTTGTCAAGGAGGCAGTGAAAAAGGAGCTTCTTCTGATGCGAGATGACACGTGGCTCCTCTGTGTTAACACTTGCTGCCAATACACAAAACTGCAATCTTCACAAAACACTTGATGATAGGGAACTTGACTGGCTTTTGTCCTCGATTGCAGGGAGGGAGCTTCTAAAACTCTTGGAATTTTTTTGAATTATAGGAGTGTCTGTTTTTCATGAGGCCCTTGGATCATATTTGAGTTTATACTAATGAGATGACTCAGAACAGAGGCAGGGAACCAGAAAAACCAGTCTCGTGGTTAGAAGGTTGGGGTTCCGTGCTAGCCTAACCTCTGGGGAGGAGAGTGGTGCTGGTGACTGAATTCAATCCCATGGCCAATGATTCAACCAATCATGCCTACATAACGAAAGCAATAAGACTCCATACACCAACTCAAAGCTCAGTGAGGTGGAGCTTCCTGCTTTGTGAACCCATTGATGTGATCAGAGGGAGGTAAGTTCTGATTCCATGAAAGCCCTGCATCTGGGACCCTCCCAGACCTTACCCACTTTGTTTCCTCATTTGATTGGTCCTGACTTGTATCCTTTAAAATAAAAATGTAATAGTAAGTATAGCAATTCCCTAAGTACTGTGAGTCATTTTAACTAATTATCTAACTTGAGAGGTTCATGGGAACCCCCAAATTTGTAGCTCATTCAGTCTAAATGCACACTTAGGTCCTGAAGGGTGGTTGGCATCTGAATTAAGGGCAGTCTTGTTGGGTTTTATGCTCCATAAGTTGTGGTTATGACTGCTCAGTCTGGTGGCTGGTGCCAGAATTTCACTGTAGTATACTAGGTGATGTGAGAACACCTATCAACATACTGAGAGTATTAATATATGCTTCCAAAAGAAGAGTGATGGAAGAATATGTAATATCTGTCATGGATTATAGTTGGGCCACAAACACCTCAGGCGAGTCATTCTTAAGAGGCTAATAAGTAGTGTAAAGACAGTTAAAGTGAGGATGATAAAACTTACCACTTTTCTTTTTTCTTTATGATTAAGGAAGAAAAAAGTTACGGAGAAATATGGCAATTGCATATAAATAAAAACAAGAGATTTTAGGTGTTTAACATAATTACTACCTGTAAGTTGTTGGACTGACATTGATTTTTCGTGGTACACTGCAGGACTCAAATTTGTTAGCCAGAGTGACATTGTTTCCAAAAAGACAGTAACGAGGCATTTTAACTCCAACAACGCCCGCAAAAACTGATCCAGAATGCAGTCCAATTCGCATCTGAAAGCAAAAAATAACATGACGTTCCCAGTCACTGGTAAAACACTTCCTACTTGTCAGTGTTGTTTGAATACCCTATCTAAATTATTTTACCATTCACCCTCAGCACACCACCCCTTTCCTCAAAATTTCCAGCCAACTTCCTCTACTTCTTATATGCAATTAAAAGTTACTAGCGCAGGCTGGGTTCAGTGGCTCAAGCCTGTAATCCCGGTACTTTGGGAGGCTGAGGCGGGTGTATCACAAGGTCAAGAGATCAAGACCATCCTGGACAACATGGTGAAACCCTGTCTCTACTAAAAATACAAAAAATTAGCTGGATGTGGAGGCTCTCTTCTGTAGTTCCAGTTACTTGGGAGGCTGAGGCAGGAGGATCACTTGAACCCAGGAGCAGAGGTGGCAGTGAGCTAAGATTGCACCACCTGAAACAAGTTACCATGCACAGGGATGACAGTTACCACAGCAACATACCAAGGAGGATATGAGCTGTTTATGTAAACCTGCCACCTCTCCATCAAGTGAGATAGACATAATTTCTGGACTCTTAGAGTTGTTTCCCCAAACCCTGACAAAGGCAAATGAAGGTAGCTCCAAGGACATTAAACACGTTTTGTAGACGTTTTACCTTAAAACAGCTTTATACCAAACACTATTCCACTATTCTAATGACTTATAACTGAGGAAATGAAATTGAACTATTTAAGTAGAAAATGACAGAGGAAGCAGAAAGTGGAAGTTACTTAAGTCCAGATGACAATGTTTATATACATTAAACTAAAAATCCAGACTGACCAAAAAAAGTCAGATTTGTTACACACCTAGATAAAAGAGGCAGTCTGGGATGTGTTGTGGCAAAATTTTAGGAATTCTCGAAGTCTCCAATATTTGGAGAGCCACTGAGACAGAATGTTTTATCTTATTTTACTCATGTTTTTAGAGGTAGAGTCTTGTTCTGTCACTCAGGCTGTAGTGCAGCGGCACCATCATAGTTCACTGTAACTTCAAACCCCTGGGCTCAAATGATCCTCCCACCTCAGCCTCCTGAGTAGCTGGAACTACAGGCATACACCACCACACCTGGTTAAGTGTTAAATTTTTTTGTAGAGACAGGGTCTTGGCTATGTTGCCCAGTCGATTCTCAAACTCTTGGGCTTAAGTCATCTTCCTGCCTCAACCTTCCAAAGTGATAGAATTACAAATGTAAGTTGCCTTGCCTAGCCAAAGCAGGATATTTAACAATGCAATCTTCAAAAGGCCTGATGATCTTAAAGGATTCACAAATACTTAAACTACTGCTGCTATTTTCAATGGGGTTATTTTCAATCGTAATGACAATATCATGTTCGTTTTCAAACTCTATGTTTACTCCACCATTTAAAAAAGTTGTATTAGATACATGCATTTTGAATGAAGACCAAGAACTCAGTAACTTAGATATAATTTAGAAATCAGAAGACTTCAGTTCTGCCTACTTTTAGTAACTAATTTCAGATATCTGCTAGCAACTTTCCAGACTCATTTACATTTAAGATGTCATATGAATTCTACAAACTTTTCAAACAAAAGCACTAGCCTGTGAATCAGAAACTTTGCATTCTAACAAACTCTACTGGTAACTGGTAGTCTGACTTCCTTAACTCTCTTTACTTCCCTCTGATCATGTTTTCACCTATAAAATGCAGGGTTTGAATATTTTTAAATAACTTTCTTCACCAAAGTTTTACTTTAACAAGCAAAACTTAGATATTTGTTACATATCTGGCTTTGTCTCCTTTAGGAGAATATGATTTTACACATATAATGAGTGATAGACTATAGATAGATAGATAGATAGATAGATAGATAGACAGACAGATAGATAAAGACTCTCTTCTGCCCCTAAATATCAGCCATGACTTTAGCATATTTAGATTGAGGAATTTTTGCTCTCTGTGAGACTCTTCTGGTTAAACCAGGTTTTCTTCCTATACTTAGTTATTCCAGTTTATTATATGTTAGATTTACCATAGCATTTTAATCTTATTTCATAATTAAAATATAAATATGTTCTGCTGGTAGAAACTGAAGCCATGCAGATAAGGAAGTGTCCCTTTTAGTCCTTCCAGCCCGTGCTGCCCTCATCCCCTTCTCCACCTCTGAATTTCACTCTCAACCCCAGCATTTTCTTACAGAGCTTTTCAAACTCATCAGCAAGATTTAAAACACAATGTGTTGAAGACAGACATCGTGGCCTGAGCATATCTCTTTTCACTGGTAGCAGACTACCATGTGAAATAACGAAAGGCAAAGGCAGAATTCTGGCTCCCAGAAAAAGTGTGAATGGGAACCTGCTAAGGGCATCTTCTCTTTGGAACCACGTGTGGCATAGCCCATTTCACATACAGCCTTCTAGGAAGAGGAACGGAGGGGTCCTAGAAGCTTGCTTCCACGTTCACTTGTCACCTACTGACTTTCACTGTTATCCTCAGCCCACTGGTCTCTGTTCCCAACCCGCCTGCTGCTTTCTAAGACTGACTGGATGAATGTTAGTGAGGAAATCAATAGGAATTAGTGAACAGACGAATGATTAGCACATGTGACGTGCTAGAGGAAAGTATAGAGTTTGAAAAACAAAACAATATTTTCTATTCTTTCACTTCAATTCTATACCAGGAGGTAGCAGGGCAAGAAGCAGGAAAAGCCTGGGCTTTGAAGCCACGTGGACATGAGTCCAAATCCTGACACATAGGAGACCTGACTGCTCTTGCCCACTGGTAAATTATAGATTCCTCTTTAAAGTGTTACTATAAGGATTAAATGAGACGATGTTTAAGTCACAGTATGCTACTTTCTGTTACACGTTAAAGTTTCCCTACTAAAAATACTCTCCACTCTGCCTCTGTGATATTTCACAGGTACCTCTTAAGGCCGTCAGATATTTCCCAGTACTGCATGTTAGTATGCATAAAAAGGTATGATTAACGACTCACTTTATAGGTCTTTAAAACTAACCTATTGTTACCCAGGTAACTATCTTTGAAACTAACTATAAATAATTTTTCTGACTTAGAAAATCTAAAAATACATTTCTACAAGTAACAAAAATCCCATAAATTCTCCCATTCCATGCACATCTTAATTATAAAACCCATTTACGTGGAGATCACTGAAAATATTAATAGTCTAAATATATTTAATATTTACTTTGATGCTACAAGCCCCCTCAAACACCTTAGAAAGAGAAAGAAATATATAGTCCTCCTTTAAAATATGTAATTATAGAAACTAAATCTGAAAAAGTCAGATGTGATGCTTTTAAAACATAGCTGTAAGGTACTTGATATTTCTTCTATTGATTGATGGGTTCTAAGCCCGCTCTCTTCTGGGAAGACTGATGATTGCTCTGACCAATAGAATACAGTGGAAGTGTCACTGTGTGCCTTCCAAGACTAGGTCATGCAGCTTCCACCAGTCTTGTTCAATGGGACTTGAACCACCTCATAAGAAATACATGTTAGTGTACCACATGTAAGTGTAACAGTCCTAGCTGATCTCAACCTTTCAGCCATCCCCACCAAGGAATCAGAGATGTAAATGAAGCAGCAGTCTTGGAATGAATCCTCCAGCTCCAGTCCTTGCAATCCCAACTATTCTGGACAGCCTCAACCATATGCATATTCCCAGCTGAGGTCCTATGGACCGAACAGCACAGACGAGGTATTTCTGATACGCCTTATCCAAATTTTTGATGTGCAGAATCCATGCATATAAAAGTTTGTGATTTTGTACCACTAAATTTAGATAAGTATGCTGCACAGCAACATAAATGGGATGACAATAGACTTAGAAAATCATTATGAAGGCTTAGACACAGAGCTTCTATTAAGGTTAAAGAAGTTAAGGATAAACTTGTAGATATAGTTTTGTTTTTAAATATCTTCTTTCTTCGCTATATGATTTATTGTGTACCAAATACGATTTTACAATACTTCAAAGACTTATCTCTGAAGGTAGTCAACTGAGGACTCTCCTATAAAAATTAAGGGGCAGCTTCACTGTAAGTGAGACAAGTAAAGGTAATCTGCTTAGGTTCTATCTATTAAACCAATGCTCACCATGTTAACTTTATTTCCTCACGTGGTGAGATATTATTCTGGAATCAGGCTCATCTAGAAATTCTGAAATGTCATGTGCCTTAGAAAATATTGGTGGATTAGCACTCAACATCCATTCAAATGTAATATCCTCTCCTCCAGGGGTTGGAAAACTAAAACTACATTTTCCGAATGAACTTGCAGCTTCTAAATGCAGTCAGGCTTAGTAAATCAGATGCACAGTCGCATGGGATTTGGCAGGCACGATCTCCTCTATAACTCAAGCTGTGGAAGCCTTTGTGTTTTCTACAGCATGCTTAGTTGAGAGTCCATTTTCCCATCACTCATTTTGTAACAGTCATCTTGCTGATTATTATAGTAGGTGCAGTTTTGGAGAGGCAGCAGCTTTCCCAACATGGTGGTTTCCTGACCGTAGCTTTGGTGGGATAGTTCTGGAATCAGCTTTCAGATTTTTGAAAATGCAGTTGTTATGAAGTGTGCTTTTGGAGTCATTTTATTTTGACAATAGAAAATTTCCATACTATGGGAGACGTTTTTTGAAAGCTTGTAGAGGACAGGAGAAACCTACATAAAGATGGTTTCTTCTGTCCTCTCAATGGTTCTGTAGGCCATTTAATACCCTATAATAAATTTCTTCCAATGTAAACAAGTTAGAGAAGATTGTGCTCTCTTTATAGATTTTGCTTTCTCTCTCAACTAAACCCCAACTGATACACCATGCGTTTGATAATCAACTAATATGTGTTTGCTTTTGTGACAGTGTGTCATCTGCCTTACCTTGATAGGTTCTCCATGGGGAGACATAACTTCATCAGAGAGTTCCATCATCTTCAAGGCCATCAGTGCTATCTGAACAGCATGAGTATCACTCTCTTTGTGTAATCCCCCAGCTACACAATAGGCATCGCCAATGGTCTCCACCTAGACACAACGTATTTTGCATACCATAAATAAATACTCAGGAAGAACCACAGCCTACATCATATAGAATAAATTAAGTCATATAGCAGAAATCTCACTGCTCAGGCCCTCTGGAGGATCAGGGTTAATGTCAGATACTCCCATAAATGGCTTTCTCTTTCAGAAAATGCACACAATTTAGACCCATTACGTTTACTGCACTGAGAGGCAGCACAGTCCGTGAACACATAACAGTTGGCTTCTACTCCCAGATTTGCCACTGACTCATCGTATCATTTCACCTCTTTTTTTTTCCACCATGAAAGATGGTTTTTGTAGAAACAAATAATATGTTTTTTGAATTATAATAAATTGCTTAAAGATGTTGGGATCATTTACTCATTTTATATCCTCCTCATCATAAAATAGTATTTTGCTTCAAGTCACTACCCAATAAATGTCCTATGAATGTAGTAAAATTGTACAATGTAAAACCAATATATTAATAGTCATAAGAGTAAAGAGAAATGGTTTATCTAAAGGACCCTTGGAGTTCTCATAGCAATTACATGTCTAATGGATACTAACCACAACTGTAGAAATCAAGATGTTGAACCAGCAGGCAAAAACAATGGTGGTTCTTGAAAGACCACTGGATATCAAGCTATTATCTAAAATCAAAGTATTAACCTTATCATCATCATCATCATCACTATTGTTGATGTTATGGGCAATTTTTATCTGTCAGTGATACTGGCTGCAGAAAGTAAATAGTTAATTGAAGTCTACAAACAACTCCGTAATTCTAAGAGCTGCATTTTTCTTCTCCTCCAAATATTTATTGTAACTATAAGACCCTATTGTCCTTATCGAAAGCCTCAATTGTGAAAGGATGAGGGTGAGAAATGAAAAAAGAAAGGATGTGCAAACCTTTAGAAATTCCCCTTATTATGGCTCCAAATTTCTTCTTGACCTGTCTCTTAATCTCTGACTTTATCTTCTTCTTCTCCATATTGTTCACTTTGTCCCAGTGTGCCTTCCATCATCCCCTAAGCATATCAAACATGCTCCCACTTGCTATTCCTTTCTTCTGGTGCAATCTCATCGCAGATAACCACTTGGTTGTCCCTCCTTTTCTTCTGTCCCTGCTAAAACCTCATTTTTTTAGAAAAGCCCATGGCTATCACCTTCTAAGAAATAGCAATCGTTCTTTACCCACTGCCCTTCTTCTTCCCCTTCACCTGCTCTATTTTTCTTCCACATTATTATACTAACTGAAATACGGTGAACTTACTCACCCGTTTATTGTCTTTCTTTCCCCCCAATCATATGTAAGCCCTCTGTCTGGTTTATTCACTCCATATTACCTGTGCTCAGTAATGAATGGACCAAACAGCAATACCACCCATAAGCTTTTTCTCAGCAATGAGTGCATAAGAAGTGCTCATTATGACAGCCATCAGGGGTGCTCAATAAATAGGCTAATTAGAAGAAGTCCTACCCCTACCCCTATCTGCTGTTAGGGGCCTGCTGTATCTGCTATGCAGCCCCTTGTACATACTGTGTCCCTTCATCCTATAATATGGAAATCTGGCATTGGTCCTTTCTGCCCTCCTCTCTCTCTCCATATGTGAACTCTTCTCACAGGAGCTGTACCCTTAGCTCTCAAGCCATTGCCCACCCATGCTGGCAGATTCTGGATATCCAGTACATATTCGTTGAAACAATGGGTAAATGAACACAGAGAGAAATAGAAAAATGGCCAAAAAAATAACTCAGGAAGACAGAGAGAAAACAAAAATTTAAAAAACCCCTATTTTAATTCAGGGCTATATAATTATTTATACATTATATATTTACATATATTATTTCTATATTATTTAATAAAATTTTAAAAAGCCCCCAAATTAAAATAAAGCCCTAATAAATAAAAAATTAAATAAAACTAAATAAAGTAGAATCAAGTGCTGGAATAAATAAGGTCGACTATTCTCTCGAAGCCATTGGCACTCTGACTATACATTTTGTATATCTGAAATCCTTCCATATTTATTTTCAGCTATGTCCAAGTAATCTCAAGCAATATCAGCAGTGAAGAGAAAGTAGAAATGAGGACTGAAATGGAAGGCAATTTACTATATAGCCACAGCTCTAGTTAGATTCATTAGGGAACTCTGTGGCTATTGTCCTTAATAAGGAGCATAGTTTCAATATGCTTGTTAGGATATTTAAAAATTATACCCTATGTCCTTGATAGAAAAAAACAAAAGTAGAAAAGGACTACTTCTACTTCTTCTGTTAGCAATTACAGCAGTTTGCAAGGAAGGAAGACTTCCTTCTCACAATTCTGAGAGAGGAGACAGTCTCAAGATAGAAAACGTCTACAAATAAATACAGTAAATTCCACAAGAGGCCATGAAACTTAACCTAAGTGAAGCCAATTATTTTATCTGTAATCATACATGGACCTCTTTTTTCCCAAGGGAATCATGGCTCTGTTTGGAATTTCCTGTTAGGAATTTTAAAAAATCAAGTTTTACTTCTAACATCTAGAACAAAACAAGACAAGAGCTTATGTACTATCACGAATAATATTTGTTTCTTCCTCAATAATTTATTTATTTCCTGTTGGGCTCAGCTGTGAAATGCCAGATTCTTATGTGGCAAGTTAAGAAGATGGATGATTCAAGCCACACAAATGAGAAGTATGCTTTATTCTTAGTCCCAATATCTAAAAGAAAGCAAAGTCATTTAAATCAGTAAAAACTGTTTACATTTTAAAGAAGCAGGTAGAACTTGAAATCTCTTCATTAGCTCTCTTACTAATAGTCTAATAGTAGTTATATTTTTTAAAAAAATAGGTATCAGGGATGGTCACTGCTGTATCGCCAGAGCCTGCAATGATGCCTGGCTCATCCTGTGTGGCTGATGAATACCGCGTATTATCTAACATAAGCTTTATAACAATCCTGTTCATCAAGATTATGGGACATAATGTGTGTTATTCATGTGTATAAACTCTGTGAATGAACATTATTTTCTCTGTCTTAGAGGTGATGGGAAAGGTTTTTTAACTTTCTCAGTTTACAAAGCAAGGAAGGCGGAGAAGATTTGAAGCCAGGCCTTTCTTTTTCAACTGTCTCCGCCTTTGGCCAAGCTGCAAAAATGCCTTAAGTAGGTGATTTTGATTTCTGTTAACTGGCCATGAAAAGTATCATATTAACTCTGTACTGAAGTAATCTATTTAAAGGCAATTTTTATAATCCTCATGTGTCTTTACTTTTGCAGATACAAAGGATAATATTTCCTGGGATAAGCCATACTTTGAATTATCTCATGCTTAATAATTCAACTTGGTTTCTGCAGTGAAGTGGCAGGCCCATTGTCTATTAAAGTTCTCCTATTCACACATCCTACACCCCATCCTCCATTCTTTGAGCACGCTATCCTCTCTCCATTCTCTGCTCATTCTTTGAGAAGACAGTGTACCAGTCTTTTCACAGAACAATTATCTCTTTTTCTGGGCAGATCCGAAGCTGTTTCTGGCTGGAAAACACCCACATTGTGAATGCACCATACCTGCTCCCAGGACTGGGCTTGCAAGACCCTATAGAAGTGGCCTTTCCGTTGCATTAGAATTCAAGTCCTAGGCACGGTACTTGTTCCTCAGTGAGTCTGCCAGTGAAATGATCATTGCCCTGCTTCGCCCTTACCTTGTAGACATCCAGCTCTCCACACTGCTGGTCAAAGCGAGTGTAGAGTGCGTTGAGCATCGTGATGACCTGCAGTGGTGAGCACTGGGAGCAGATGGCAGTGAACCCAACGATGTCTGAGAAGAGCATCGTGACATTACTGAACTTCTTGGCTTGCACAACTTGCCCTTGCCATAGCTGCTGAGCAACCTCACAGGGAAATATGGAGCACAAAAGATCTACTGTCTTTTTCTTCTCCTCCTCCAGGGCTTGGTGGGCTTGCTCAAGGGTGGCCTTCAGCTTCCCCAGCCTCTTCTTCAGGCCATCTTGAGCTCGGGCTTGTTCCCCTATCAAGACCACATCCCTCAGTGCATTGTGAATTGGGATGTCCGAGAGGTAGAGCCCTCGTCCTGTAAAATCTTCTAATCTGTCCACACAGGGTGACCCCAAAAACAAGATTGCACTGGATTCAACAATGTAGATCATTTGGCCTTTGAGGTCCATAACCTACGAAGGAAAGGAGAACCGATTGTGGTTTATTCAAGTTTCCAATGCCTTTCTGAGACAAAAGAAGGGGAAGTAGATACAGGGAAAATCTCTTTGTGTTTAAACTCTTTTTTTTTTTTCAACCTACTGAAAAGGAATAATTTGCTTTCTTATGTTTCCGATTTGCTGTGAGTTCTAAAATGCATGCAGACGTTTGAAGAGCATACTGGAGTATACAGAGAAATCAAGATTTACAATGAGAAATGCGAAACGCTCTTGCTTTCTCACTAGGCAGCATGCTGAGTAAATTCTTGTTAGTATCTCACTTGGTTAATCTGTAGTTCTATTTTTTTGAATAATATAGTCCTCATGAAAGCAGATCCTCCCTTCCTCTCTTGCTCCTTCCCTCCCTCCCTTTTACTTTTCCCTTCATTCTATGTTTTCTTTTTTTTTTTTTTTTTTTTTTTTGTTTCCCCTTCTTTCAGCATGTTTCTCTTCTCTCCACTTCTCCCATTAGTATTTGCTCCATCTGGCAGGTATGGAAGTGAAAAAGCCTCCAAAAGTATGATTTTTATCAGATTTTTTTTTTTTTCGGTCATGAGTAGCTCTCCAGAACTACCTTTTGGAAGTCATCATTTTTCCACAGTTATTCAGCTTGAGTTATCTGAAGCTTTTAGGAGAGGCCACTTCCCCATTTCAACTGTGCCTTCAGAACCTAAGGAACCCTGCTGTCTGCTACACAAATAAAAGAACAAACCACCCAGTAGAAAGGACTGTACCCAGGGGTATGTGAGACAGATGGGGCTTCAAGCGATCATACTGGACCACAAGAAGGTTTACTTGCATACGTGTGGACAAAGATGTGCATGTATGTTCTTGCTGCAAAAAGCCAAAAGTAACTTAGACACCCTTCAATAGGGAACTAGTTAAATAAAGTAGAGCCTGGGAAGCCAAAGTGGGCGGATCACCTGAGGTCAGGAGTTCAAGATCAGTCTGGCCAACGTGGCAAAACCCCATCTCTACTAAAAAATACAAAAATTAGCCTGGTGTGGTGGCGCATACCTATAATCCCAGCTACTCGGGAGGCTGAGGCAGAGAGAATTGCCTGAACCCTGGAGGTGGAGGTTGTAGTGAGCTGAGATCACGCCACTGCACTCCAGCCTGGGTGACAGAGCAAGACTCTGTCTCAAAATAAACAAACAAACAAACAAACAAACAAACAAATAAATAAATAAAGTAGCACACAATCATATAATGGGATACCACTAAGACTCCAAGAAAGCTGACTAGACCTGTATCTAATGACATGGGAAGATGACCAAAATATATTGTTTCTTGATAAAAGAAGTTGTAAAATAGTATTTTTTGTTTTAAACAAAAATGTATACAATTAGTTTTTCATTTTTTTCTACAATAAATATCTTTCAATATTACTCATTTTAAAATAATTCATTATTGAATCATTATTGATTCATTATTTTATGATAGAAAAACAATAAATCTCTTTTCATTTTGGGGAACAAATAGTGCTTCTGCTGGCGTTTTATACACGTGTGAAGCCTCGCTCCTAGCTTTGCTTGTGTGATCAACTACGAGTTAGCAAACTTTCTTTCCTGAGACTAAATAATTACCAAAGTTCTTTTCCGTGAGATGACAGAGTATGTTTTAACCTCTACATTCGGTAACAATCAAATAAATTATTTTTTTTCCTGGCTAATAAATGTTGATTAAAAATCCATTTAGTTGCCTCCTACAAGAAACAAGTAGACTTTTGTTTGTTATAAAATAATATCTCTTACTATTCAACCTAAGTGAAGTATTTGATACTTGAAAATATATTTTATATAAACATTTATCAAATTTCATTATAAAACACTCCATAAGATATTAAAAGGCAGACTGCATTCAATAAATATTTTTGGAGTAATGAATCAAGTAAGCAAATGAAGAAAGAATTCTGTTTTAAGTTTATTAGTGTTACAATTCTTTTACAGTTGTTTTAAACACATTTTATCAAAAATTTGAAGTGACGCACATATTTTTACCTCTTTGTTTCTTGCTGTTAAATATAAAATAACTTTCATATTCAAGATAATATTGTATTTTCCTTACCCTTGAAGATTTCTTCACAGAGTTGTCCCATCTCCTCACTCGCACAACAAACTGCATATTCAACATAGTCATGATCCCACTAAACGTCTGGTTGATTTTTGGAGTCAGAATTTCAAAGTATTCTTCAAAATTGGGCTTTCCTTGAAAGTCTCTCCTGTTCATCAGCCTTCTAATGCCATTGCCAAATTGCAGAATCGTCATATCTTTGTCAAACATGAAATGGAATGGAAATGTCTTGCAGAAGAGTGATGTGGGAATCACCAGCGAGGACTGGGGTTTGCTGGGGGACAGGGATGGTTTGGTGCTTTTCACATGAACGTAGTACAACAAATAGGGCTGATTCACAAACTCGCTGCAGTCGTTATGGAAGCAGGGAGGCATTAATGACACTTCTACTTCGGTTTCATATAATGTGTGAGCGGCTGCCTTTATGATGCCCGGAAGAATCAGGGATGTGGTTCTCTTAGGGAAGAAGTAGTAAACATGCAGAAAATCGTCCTCCTTATCCAGGCACAGAATGGAGGCATCCTCAAGCCTGCCCCTTTTTCCTGCTTCTTGGCAATGGCTGCTCTGTTTCAGAAGGGTACTAAAGCTGTTTAAAAAATCTTTCAGGGTGCCTCCAACCACTCCTAGGATGTTTTCATCTTCCTCGTAACATATTTTAAAAAGCTCTTCGCCGAGAGATTCTTTGATGATCTCCACTGGAACTCCTGCAATCACATAATATATGTTCTGCCATATCAAATATGCCACCTTGGTAAAGCTGTGCTGTTATTCCTATTTTCAACTTGTGTTATTTGCTGATTTAGCTCCTCTTATATCTGATAATAACATTTCCAACCAAAACGAAACCCCTATATCCAAATTATCTACCTAGGTTAGCTTCTAACGTTCTAGTAACTGGAGAAAAATCCCAAATTAAAAAAGAATGACCAGTTGAGTATAATACACAACTTATTATCTCCCTGAAATCTAACTATAAAAGAACAATTTGGATTCTAGTATTAAGTACATTCTAGCAAAAGTCCTCCAATTTTCTGTTAACAACAAAAGCCATCCATCCTCATGAAGACGTTCTTCCCTTCTAAGGGTTTCCAGCAGTGAAAGGGTCAGATACTGGAGTTAATTTAAAATTACTGGTTATGAAACTCTACTTTGTCTAGAAATGATTATAAAGCATTTTTTTCCTGAGTAAAATAGAATTCTTGTTGTTTAGTGTTAGCTGAATGAATATCTGCTTGGAATATATAATTTACTTTCTATAGCATCTTCATGAGTGGCATAAGGTTAGAAATAATCAAGCCTATGCATGTCTTTGTCTTTTTACAATGTTAGGCTTTTATTGGTATTATTTTTTATTATAAAAACTATTGGTTACATCACGTTTTTAAGGAGGCAATTTTTTTTTTTTTTTTTTTTTTTTTTTTTTTTTTTTTTGAGACAAAGTCTTGTTCTGCTGCCCAGGCTAGAATGCAGTGGTACAGTCCTGGCTCACTCCAACCGCCGCCTCCCGGAGGCAATTCTAATGACTCAGCCTCCAGAGTAGCTGGGACTACAGGTGTACACTGACCATGCCCAGCTACATATATATATATACACACACACACACTCTTAGTAGAGACAAGTTTTCCTCTTGTTGACCAGGCTGGTCTCTAACTCCTGACTTCAAGTGATCTGCCCTCCTCAGCCTCCTAAAGTGCTGGGATTATAGGCATGAACCACCGCATCTTGCCAAGAGGCAATTTTTGTAGTACCTTTTGTTTACTTGATTCTTAGAGCTACAGGCACACAGGCTCGTCACTCCACAAGTCAGTTAATATTGTAAACTATACATAATAGTATGCTTAATTAATATAGAAAATAGAAATGTTGTAGATTAAATATTTTATAACAAAGTAACATTTAACCTCAAAAGGAAAAAGAGATAGGAGAAAGAATTAATGAACTAGGGTTGGTATGATGAAGACAAAAGGAGCCTTGCTTTGGGCTGGGCCATCTGTTGGTCTTATGAGGAAGACTCTTCAAGGTGGCAGATGTCAAGTTTCTATCACTAGTGAATGTAAGAAGGTGTCAGTTAGGATGGCCGTCTTGAGTTGTTGAAGGTGTAATTTTTTAGAGTTACTGAGTCCCTCTGGTGAGAACTGATAGTGGAAAAGTGTGTTTGTATTTTTATCTGGTTATATATAGTTTTTATTTTTTTAATTTATTAAAGAAAACATGTTATTTTTATTGGCAAAATGCCCTATAAAATACAAAATAGAGTCTTTTTTAAATATGGACTTAGTTATGTCAAGGGTGCTCTGTATGATCTTCCCTGTCTATAATCTCCTTTATTCTTTACACTCTAAGTATCACATTTTTCTTATCTGTAATGTGGGATACAGAATAGTGCCCCCTTCACAGCACTGTTGTAATGTGTGGGACTTATGTTCAGAATAGGGCCTTGCTGCTAGAACGGCCTCAATACATGTTAGCAATCATTATTATTATCATCATGAACATCTTATATTTGCAGAAAGATGCAACCTTTTGGTTCATGTACTAAAACTTTGGAAAGGACAGTAAGACAAAGTCACACTTCAGTTTCTTCTCTCTAATTACTAATGTGAGAACACTGTTAGCTTTTTTGCCATGATTGCTCCTAATTTTTCAAAGTATTCTTTATTATTTTGTTGACTGGAACTTTTCATGCATAAATGAGGAACACTTAGGTTTAAGATTAAAGCCTGTGAATGTCTGTGAGTCAGCTTCCCATCCAGCCTTATCTACTTCTCAGCAAGTAAACATAAACAGAAAATGCCTTAGGTCAAACAAAAACATGCAGTATGAAGAAGAGTCACTCTTCACATTCACAGAATACATAACATTGAACGCTTCATACTGAGAGTCACCAACAAATAAATATGAATAGTTTTGGAGAAAGTGTTTTACAGGTATACGGTCTACTTTCTAATTATATAAACAATTCTATTATTACCTGCTGCAACTGCTTGTTCTGCAACTATTTTTTCAAAGTCTTCTCTTTCCAAATATTTCCTGGAAATATTTCAATATTTTAAATTATAAACTCATAAATACATGCTAAAAGTTCAGATTGCAATACACAGAAATAATGATAGAAAACAGTTGACCTTCCCTGTAGAAGCAAATCTTAACTATCAAGTTTACTGGAAAGGAGCAATGACTTGTACCATCCAGAAGAACGCTGGGAAACCCCAAAATACACATGACATAGAATGTTTTGTTATTCATCATATGGAATCTTTACCTTTTAAGTGAACATTACATAGAATAACACAGACAGTCTCAGACCTAGGACTTTTTTTAATTTAAATTTTTTTTTTTTTACCTTATCCAGTTGCAAAAGCTGTAAGTATTCAGTAGAAACTGTACTTCAAAGTTTGCATTTTGATTTTGCTCCCATACTACAGGTATGGAATACAATGCTCTCATGTGATGCTGGACAGTGGCGATGTGCCACAGCTCTCATGTGGCCGTGAAATCGTGAGGGTCAACAACTAGTACTCTCCAGTGCCCTGTGTGGGCAGATGATTTTGCCCAAATGTAGGCTACTTTAAATTGCTGAGCACGTGTAAGGTAGGCCAGGCTAAGCTATTCAGTAGGTTAAGCGTGGTAAGTGCATTTCAACTCAGGGTATTTTCAAGTTATAACAGGTGTATCTGATCATAACCCCATTGTAGGTCAAGGAGCCTCTGTACTAAAGAGCACCTTCCCTGGTTAGCAACCTCAAATGTGAAGTAGCCAAGAAGAAGATGGTAATTCTGACAACCAAGAAAAACCTACATACAGATAGATTTCGCTTTTAAGTAATACTATGTAAAAGCAAATACACAGAATCTTTTGCTTCTTAGTCTAAGGCTCAATTTAGCTCTCAGATATCATTATATTAAACTTTTATCCTTGATTTTGTATAAAAATTAGTAATAAAAAAACCTATTTTTCATTCAGTTATTGCACTTGTTTTACAGCACAGAAATTGAGAATATAATAGCAGACGTTTTTACTAATATGACGTTTTTGCAGTTTTAACTGAGCAACTTGCCTAATTGTTAGTGATGATTTCTGATAGTGATGAGTGATATGACAAAATTTGCCACGTGAGCGAGGCTTACTTAGTCCAAATAGCATATAGTGCAATTCAAACTACAATTCCTACTCTCATCTCTAAAAAATACAAGTGGGTGTAAGCATTGCACACGCACCAGCAAACACGTGTACCTCAAACAAATACACACACACTCAGCCCCCAGATGAGTTCATACACATAATGATGCGATCAAAAGATCCTGGGAAAAAAAAAAATCCAGGCAAGAACTCTGTGGGCAACCCATCCTGAGAGATATCATAGCTGCACTAAAACTCAATCACTGAAAAAAAAGATGAAGGGGGGGCGCTCTAGTCCTTCATTCAAGGGCAGTTTATGGGTTGATTTACTGGATTTTTGTTTCTCTATTCATTTAAGAGAATAAGCAGCACAAAAAGGGGTTTAGGTGTGTCCAGCAGCTGGCAAACTGACAGCAGTAAAACTGGCCATGACTTGCCAGCAAGAAAGTGAAGTAAAAAGCGTAAACCAGAGGGTATCCCAAAACTAAAAAAAAGCGCAGAGGAGCCATTTAACATATCAGCAGGCAGGCTTATGAGCAAAATCTTGTTTCAACAACTGAATAGTTCTCATCAAGACAATTTAAAAGTATAATCAGATTTCCTTTTTTTTTAGGGAAATCAGGGAAGTGGCAAAAAAATTTCAAAATTTCCAAAAAGTAATTATTGTTTGCTTAAGTTCTGAGATCACTTTGAGAGATATACTGCTGGAAACACATCATAACTTAGTATTACAAGAAGCTGCAGGAACAATTCAGAGCACAAAGCCCTGAGAATAAATTTTGAGTAAACTGGCTGCCAAGGACTTAAGCAGACAGACAGTAGCACAGGGAGAGACTTGAGGCTATCTTATCAGCTTGACTGGGAATTAAGGTCAGAGGCGTTCTGGAATGCTTTTCATATTACTCGTGTAAGTAAACAAAGCTTCGGTCAGACACAGACTCACACTCTCTCCTTCTGGGCCTGTCCATGACCCCTTCTTGGCTTGGTCCTGCTGCCTGCAGTCTGGGACCAGTTAGTGAGCAAGGAAACTGAAGCACATATAATCCACAGCATGAACACTCACGAGTAGGAGACAGATGAATTAATTGATAAAACATTCCTGACAACAGTACTGGTTTGTAAAACTTCAAAGTTCGGTTCTGCAAATTTGAACATCAGCATTTATTCTATTATTTATAAACTAACTAATCCTTAAAATTTCAGGGAATTGAAAATGGGGCCTATTACTTTTTTTTTTTTTTTTTTTTTTTTGAGACAGAGTTTCGCTTTGTCTCCCAGGTTGGAGTGCAGCGGCACAATCTCAGCTCACTGCAACCTCTGCCTCCTGGGTTCAGGTGATTCTCCTGACCCAGTCTCTCAAGTAGCTGGGATTACAGGCGCCTGCCACCATGTCTGGCTAATTTTTGTGCTTTTAGTAGAGAGGGAGTTTCACCACATTGGCCAGACTGCTCTCGAACTCATGACCACAGGCGATCCACCCACCTTGGCCTCCCAAAGTACTAGGATTATAGGCATGAGCCACTATGCCCAGCCTCTATTACATTTTCTGTCAGCAGTAAATGTGCTAAATTGTATAATTCACTAAATAAATTAGATTTTTAAAATGTAACTTTAGAGGCCAGGCACAGTGGGACATGCCTGTAGTCCTAGCAGTTTGGGAGGCCAAAGCTGGTGAAAGCTTGAGTTCATGAGTTTAAGATCATCTTGAACAACATGGAAAAACCCTGACTCTACAGAAAAAAAAAAAAATTAGTTGGGCATGGTGGCATGTGCCTGTAGTCCCAGCTACTCGAGTGGTTGACGTGGGAAAATGACTTGAGCCAGGGAGGCGGAGTTTGCAGTGAGCCAAGATTGCACCACTGCTCTCCAGCCTGGGCGACAGAGCAAGACTTCATCTCAGGAAAAAAAAAAAAAAAAAAGAAAAAAAAAAGTAACTTTAGGCCCATGCCTGTAATCTCAGCTTTTTGGGAGGCCAAAGCAGAAGGATGGCTTGAGCCCCTGAGATCCAGGCAGCAGTAAGCTATGATCACACCACTGCATTCCAGCCTGGATGACAGAACGAGATCCTGTTTCTTAAAAGAAAAAAAAAAAAAAAAAAGGTAACCCTTTAAAGGAAAATTTCAGAATACAGTAAAAAACTTATAAACAAAGCTGACGTTCACCATGTAGCCAAACTAGTTATGAGAATACTGAAACACTTCCCTAAGGATGAATAAACACCTGCTACCCACAGAACCCCGAATCCCCCTCCTCTTAAGCTCATGATCCTTCTACCTCCTCCCGATGCAGATACTAAAGGGTTAACATGTTGTTGAGATGTGTGTTGGGGACGGGGCATCTGCTGGGACCCTGCTCAACACTTTGGCAGCATCCTTCAGGTAAGAAGTCTGTTCTGATAGTTTGGGATCCATGACTTACCTGTTGTTAAATATTTTAGAAGTTACCCATTAGTACCAAAGAATAAGCCTTGTGGGACCTTGTTAAAGCAGCAGTCTATTACCAAATGCTTAAAATGATGGGCTCTGAAAAACCCAGGCTTGAACCCCAGCTCTGTCTTTTCCTTAAATAGCTAAACAATTTTAAACATTTCATACAAACCTGAGTTTCATCACTTATAAAATGTGAAAAACAAATGCACTCACTTTCAGATTAGTATCAGCTAAAGAGCTAAGTCCAGTTTCTGACATTTGACACATTTAGTAAGCGCTGGCCATTAGTAGCAGTCATTGGAATAAGAGGTTCACATAACTAAAGTGATTTGACTTACCTGCTTTCTTTAATTTTGTGCTTTGCCAATGTTCTCTGAAGTGCAAGGATTCAGCCGTTCAAACTGAAAGTTCAAAAGAAATGTTTTAAACATTCCCTTAAATAATAATTTGTTTGAAAAAATATATTTTAAAATGCATACTGAAGATTTTAGAGAAGCAAAAACATTATAAAACTGCTTGAATGATCAATGTTGTGAATTTTCACCTTGAAAACTGGAACAGATTTTTCTGTGTTTTCAAGCTGGAGAAAAAACAATGAGCTGAGACTACTCTGAGGCTGGGTATGTGTTGCTGCCCACAGGTTTAGCCTTTGGTGGTGGTCTCATTGACAGCCACAGAAGAGTTGAGCTGAGTGTGTATCCAAACAGAAGACTTCAGTTTGGTACTGTTAGGTGTTTGTAATAAGGATTCCATGAGCATCACTTCCTGTGGGTCAGAAAAGCCCTCTGGATGGGTGGTCAACACAATAGTCTCAGCATAGACAAAGCCAAGAAAATTTCTCTTCCTTTCACAAGCTCCACACTCAGCTGCCCCAGTGACTCTCTGCCCTCAACTATACATTCATATCACCTTCTTGTTTAGCAAACTCTGGAGTTATCTCTGTCTCTTCCTTTTTTTTAATCTCTTAAATCTAATCTGTTGCCAAAGTTAGTTGATCATTTATTTGAAATAAGCCTTGGGTTTACCATAGCTTATACTGATTTCCTTTCTTTGAATCAATAATTCTCATCAAATACTATGGTTTTATTTTCTTTTATTGACTTCTGAGAATTTCATGAGTTTTCCTATTTTGCAAGACATTTGTATGTAAGCTTTTATATTTAATAAATAGTATTAATTTATTAGTAAATTTATTTATTAGTAAATAAATAAATAGTATTTTAGTAGCTATTAATGTCTCTTAGCACCTAACTGTCTCTAATAAGTGGAAAGAAGAGCATTGATAAGCTGTGTTGTCCATTTTTTTATACATTCCATGTAAAAATCATATGTATCTATGTGTGTATCTCTCTCTATATATAAATATGTCTATATATATAACCATATATTATATATATAGAACCATTTATTCTTTCTATAGTTTGCCCAGAGGAAAGTGAAATTTTTTTTTCTGTTCCAAGTTGAGAAATTCCTTTTTCCTTAAGACCTATTTATATCTCTTGCAGTTTCCACTTGTCAAGTGAGGTGCTGGAGTAAACCAAAATAGAGAAAGGTTCTGTTTTAATGAAATGAGTTATGAAAAGAGCTTTTAGTTTTAAATATGCATATACAAAGCTTAGAAAGAAAATTTAAAAATGTGCTGAAAGAAAATACAATTGCTAAAAAGAAATGAAAGAGAAAGATAATTATATTTACAATGTGGAGCAATTTTTCAGACTGTACAGATACATAGAGAAAGAATAACATATGCCACAGAATGAAAGAAAAGCTGGTGGAAGATGCACCCGTGAGGCAGGTTTGGAGCAGGTCCTGGTGGGCTGTGTAAAGGCAAAGGGCAGCTGAGGAATATGTTGGAGAAAGAAACTATGGGCATATTTCCTAGACATCTTTCTCATCAAGGAGAAAGGAAGGTAACATTAAATTAGTGAGACTGTACATGAAGTAAATCAGTCAGGGTGCTTGAAATGTTTAAACTTCTCAAGAGCCATCTACTTGGTGCAGTAGAAAGCTACTCCAGTAACACAGTATTAATGTGGATACAGATCCATGAAAGCATGGGTGGCTGTGTGTTCCTTCTTCCTGCAAAATATATTCACATGAAAAAAGAAATCGTCAATAAAATAAAGGTTGCTGCCTTTGTGCTTGAGCTCTCAGTTTTCCTTCACAGCATTTGCTCCCCAGCTTTGTGAATTTTCCATAATTGGTCTCTTCCATTACAGTAGAAGCTCCAAAAGGTCAGAGAGTGTCTGTTTTGTTTACCCCTCTATGTCCAGAACCTACAATAGTACCTACTCATAGGAGATGTTCAATACGTATTTACTGAATGAATGAATGAATGAATGAATGATGTTCACCTGCCAGCCACTCAATGTCTTGAAGGCTGAATCTATAAAACTTTATCTGTGAAGTGAAAAAGTAAAATACAGAGATGTTACTCTCTCAGCTTGTTTACAAATTTAGGTTGTTCCCAATGTAAACTATTTCAATTGTATTTGTTTATATATATGAATTGTTTCTTGGACCAGGAACTTTTTTTTTTTTTTTTTTGGATATAGAGTTTTGCTCTGTTATCCAGGCTGGAGTGCAGTGGTGATGACAGTTCACTGTAGCCAAGAGTGAGATGAGCTCAAGTGATCCTCTTGCCTCAGCCTCCCAAGTAGCTGGGACTACAGGTATGAGCCACCATGCTTGCCCTAACCAGGAACATTTTATGGACCATGAAGAAAGAAAACTCAACCAATTCTGCCACTGAAGACTGTTTTCTTCTTCCTCTTCAATGCTACTGGAGATCTACTCTTCTTGACATCTCTGATTAAGCCATTGGGTATACTCTTTTACTCTTTTAGTCAACATCCTTATATATCTTTCATTTCCTTCCTACTACTGTCAGAAATGTCCTTTTTTCTGGTCCTTTCCTTCTAACATATACACTATAATTTTAAGAGAGGAGGAGAAATAGTCCCCTTCCAATTGCTAGGGTTGGTGGAGCAAACCTATTTTTGGCTTTCGATTTTGAATCAAAACTTATTTTCCTAAAGAAAAAAAGAACAAAGTCCGAGCAAAGCATTGGCAGCATACTTGACTGATAGTATGAGTGAATAGGCTTTTATGGGAATGTACATTCATCGTATACCATTGCTCCTCTGGAAAATTTTTGTAAATTCAAAACAAAGCCCCTAAGGAACAGAACTCACATGTTTTCCAGGCAGAATATTTCTTGGTAAAGGCTGCTGGTGCATTGAGTTTTCTACACTGGTGCTGTATTTCCTGTGATATATCCCGACCCTGAGATAATGTGAGTCCACAACAAAATAATATATATGACTCATCCATAAGTGAGATCTGTCACACACAGCCAACCTGAGGAACTCATGACACAAAACCAACCATTTCAGGACTGCTCCATACCCCAACCATTCTACATATTAATTTTTGGTTTCAGATTTTAGAACTAAATCCAGTATTTCCTTCCAAATTAATTTCTTATAGCTCAATATATTTAAATATTGTGTAGCTGTGTTTTGTAGATCTTTTACTTGTCTATCACTCAAATGCCTTACTATTTCGGAAAGCCTTTATTCATTTTGAATTTTGAAGAAACAGGTCCTCTTATTTATATAATCACTAGATCCTGAAGTGTTGTAGATTGTGGACTTTCTGATTCACAGAGGGGACACTTGTCCCTCAAAGCAAATCGTTTGTATTGCTTTCAAGTTTGTTTCTCTTGACTAAACAATTATCTTTTGGCTTCCTAAAGAATAGATCTGATTAAATTGTTAAAACATCTACTTTTGCCACAAATATACCATATAGGAATACTTCAGGAATAACTGCTATTTGATGCAACATTGCTGTCAGTGATGTGAATTTTAATTAATGACATTTCATAGGTGTGATTTATGGATAAGTCACTATTTTCATTAGCCTTTTAGCTTTTTTACAGTGTTTACTGTTTTTCTAGACCAAGGATATTTTAATTCATAAGATAAATTGTAGTGCTGTTTCTTATTTTCTTCTTGCAACCTAATACTCTAGAACACACCTACAGATCTCACGATTCTCTTCAAATCCTCCTATTCTTACTAAGTACTTGATTTGGGGTCTTATCATTTATGTAAGCATATCCAATTCAACTGATTCAATTCAGTAAGTGATTTTTGATTTGCTGTGACTGTGGCATCTTCAAGATCCTTACAATAATTCTATAGCCTGAAGGAGCTTACAGAATTGCTGGGAAACAACATCCATGAAAAAAAGATCAAACAATATTATATTATATTATATTATATTATATTATATTTATTATATTACATTATATTATGTTATATTAAGAAGAGCAATTGATTATGAATAAAATGCAGAGAGTTTTTCATTTCTCCAGTTACCTTTTGCTTTAAGCAAGAGATCTAAATTTATGTGCCTCCATTTCTTAAAATAGAAATGAAAAGTTTGCATTACATGATCAAGAAGACTTTTTAAAGCTCTAGTATTCCGTTACTCAGGAGTGACCTCTCACTTGTTATGTTTGCTAAGGAAAAAACATTTTTATACTTGCCTGTTCACTAATAAAAATATAATCAGGAAGTTAATTCTGATTATCTAAAACAAAAATTGTGATGTCAAATGCTATCTTAAGTATCTTACTTTAGATTATTAATACAACTGAAACTAAATAGTCTAAGCATTAAATCTACAAACGTAACAAATAATCAGAAAAAAAACACTAAAAAAACACATAACAGGTATTTTCAAAGATAAGTAGATGTTTGAAGTCATCTAGACTGATTACTACACAGCTCAAATGTATTCAACACTGGAACATTTACCAGATAAAGATAATGTCTCAGTTGGAGAAGAGTTTTTGCCACTAATGCCAAACATACTTCTTCCATCTCCTAGTCTTGCCCTCTCTGTTACATGATACTGTAGTAAAATCTTAAGATTATTTTTATAAACTCATGAACAAACAACAAACTAATAAATTATATATATATATTTATTTATTTATACACACACACACACACACACACACACACATACACACACACACACACAAACTTGAATTTGGTATTGCATCCCAGTCCTTCAGTACATTTTCCTAGAATAAAGAGAAGGGAAGTTTATAGCAGCCAGTATGGCTCTTCAGGATCCCTGAAACTTCTCCCTCAGCAGGAAAAAAGAATTATGGAACATTCACATCCCTAGAAAATGTTTGAGAGGCTCTCAAAATCTCTAGCTGAGCCAACTGCTGAAAATCCTTTCCTGTCAAAGCTAGTCAGCAAAGAATGAAAGAGGTGACTCCATATTCAAGTGTGCAGGCACCAATGCAAAGCTACAAGGAGCAGAAAAAAATCAGGGAAATATGAGACAACCAAATAAATAAATAAATAAATAAATAAATAAATCTACAATAATTGACCATAAAGAAATGAAGAACAATGAGTTAACTGACAAAAAATTCAAAATAATGAAATCCAGTGAGTTATAAGAAAACACAGAGACAATTAAATAAAATCAGAAAAGTACATGAACAAAATGCAAATATTAACAAAGAGATAACCACAAATATGGAAGCAAGCCAAAATTCTGGAATGAGAGAATAATAGAATAACTGAACTGAAAAATTCAATGGAAAGCCTCAACAGCAGACTTAATCAAGTTGAAGAATCAGCAAATTCAAAGAGAGGTCATTTGAAGTTATTCAGTCAGAAGAGTGAAATGGCAAATGAATGAAAAATGGTGAAGGAAGCCTGTGGAACTGTTGGGGGTGCCATCAAGTGAACCAGAATGTTTTTTAAAAAAGAGTCCAGTATGTGTATGACTTCCATTGTAGAAATTCAAAATCTATCAAACAAAATAATGAAGCCAACATAGTAATGACAGGATTTAGGAAAAGCATAGAAGCTATCTACCTGCCTCATGATCACCATCTGTTCATTTCTGTTCATTTCACTCTGTCCTTGGAGATGAGAGCATTGATTGTTTTCCAGACTGTGCCACAAACCAACTCCCTAAGGAGGGCTAGTTATCTCTAGCCAATGCTGGCTGTCTAGAAACTAGAGTGGGGTAAGAATAATTAAGTATTTCCATTTCAAAGGTTATCAGTCAAAGTACTATTGTGTTAATATTATATCTGAAATAAACTCCCTCAACTTTCTGCTAAGTCTAATTTATCCATTCTTCAAACTTCAATTTTTAAGTTTCTTCTTTCTCAGTTATTCCAGGCTGGATTGTTTACAATAGTAATTAACTGCTCTACCCTTTGAAAGTTGCATAATTTTGGTCAAATTACTGTATTTCTCTGGCATTTTCTGGGAATGAAACAAGATTATCTGTGAAATTCCTTTCAGTTCTGAAAATCAGCCAGTCTGTGTTTCTTTGGTGTTTTGCACATAGTAGAGTGTTGATATTGAGCCAATTAAAAATTATCAACATGTTATATTAGCTAGTGTCTGATTAAGTCAATGTTCAGCCAAATTTATAGGTTAAACAAATCTGTATAAAACTGTGAAGACTGACAGAGGGAGGGGGACATCACGAAGATCTTCAACTGCTCTTCTATTTATCCTGCAGAGGGAGAGAAGCTTTCTACACATCACCTCTATTCCTTTTTTTTTTTTTTTTTTTTTTTTGAGACGGAGTTTCGATCTTGTTACCCAGGCTGGAGTGCAATGGCGTGATCTCGGCTCACCGCAACCTCCGCCTCCTGGGCTCAGGCAATTCTCCTGTCTCAGCCTCCTGAGTAGCTGGGATTACAGGCGTGCGCCACCATGCCCAGCTAATTTTTTGTATTTTTAGTAGAGACGGGGTTTCACCATGTTGACCAGGATGGTCTCGATCTCTTGACCTCGTGATCCACCCGCTTCAGCCTCCCAAAGTGCTGGGATTACAGGCTTGAGCCACCGCGCCCGGCTACATCACCTCTATTCCTAAGACGTTTGACCTGTTTCAGTCTATGTTCTGTTCCCAGAAGTTTCCTTAAAGGTGGATTGACAGAAGCTGCTCCAGATCTCAACATGACACTACGCTATGGAGCTTGAAGGGCTATTTGAAGAAGTGTCAGAGCTAATTATTATGTCATTATTATACACAGGTATAGATAGGCAAACTCTGAAAACCGGCAGGGATCAAATGATACTCTTTAAAATTAAGAGACCAAACTCCAGCAGAAAATAAGTTATTCTTTGCCGAACTTAATTTTAAAATAATAGCTAACAACTACTGATAGCTTATGGTATGGCAAGAGCTATGGATGGTTTTACTTAAAAATCATTAAAACTCTAGAAGGTGGTTGCCATTATTATTTCAACTTCATGGATAAGGAAGCTGAGATGAAGAGGAATTTCCAAGTTGCCCCAAATCATAAAGTTTGTCAGAATACAGTGTTATTTTGAAAATTCAAGATCATAAACATTTTCAGATTAAACACAATTGCTTTAAAAGAATATTTTTATGTGTTTCAAGGAAACAGTCTACATTTATTGTAGCCTTCAAAGTGAGAAAGCAAGTGTTTAAATTTTCCTGAGAAAAACATTCTTCTACAGTTTCAAAGTATTACAATTTCAAAATCTAAAGGGCAAGCACTCACCTCTGGGAAAATCAGTTTGCAAATACTCTCTGCCAAAGTGTGAAGATAGACTCGGCTCCGACTGGTTTTTCTTTGAGGAAGACTTTCTTGTATGTTCTTCTCAGGAATGTCTTGACAGATGGGCACGGTTGCTTTGCAGATCTCTGAGCTTCCTGCTGCCTCCTCTGCAGACTCTTTAGGAACTTGACCTGGTGCCAGTAAGGAGAAAGGACACTCCCCTGTGATCTTGAGATCCTTGAGCTTCGTGCAGAACATGGTGTTGGTGTCTCTTACCCTGCTGCGATCTCCTCTTGATGAGCTGTAGTTCTTATATGAGACTGACAAACAGAAGTCACTATCAATTCAAGGACACTGGTAACTGGGATGTCTAGGGGCAGCAAAAAGTCAGAACGGAAAGAGGAATGACGTTATGCACAGATGAAGACAGAAAAAGACAGGTGAGAAAAAGCAACGGTCATGTCATTTTCAAGTTAAAAAAAATTCTGCTGGAAATTCCAATTATTAAATGAGCAAGACATTGGGCAAAGATTTTTTGTGTGAATTTCACTATATTAGTAAAATACTTGCTCTTAATAGTTCAACTTTTAAAACAAAATACATTTTTTTCCCAAATGTCCTTAGCATCAGCTGCTGATTTCCATTTTTTTTGTACCCAACCTGTCCGGTTTGATTTCACAAGAGTGGGACACCACGGTTTTATGACAAAAGCCACATTTAAATCTATGTTTTATTAATGCTTGTACTAATACATTCTCATTAAGCTTTCCTTTCTGAAAAGTCAGAACAGTAAAAACCAATGGCTTCCAAAAATACCTAAGGGAAAATAATATGTATAATAGTCCCCAAGTATATGTTTTCAAACATTGATTTAGATTGAAAAAGAAAAAAGTTCAATGAAAAAAAAGTTCCATGAAGATGATTACGGCAAAAGAAAATTTTCATCACTCTAAACAAAGAATTTAAGAATATTATCATCACAATGAAAAAGAAATCAGAATTCCTGATCCCTACGAACATGCCATGGGATTTGCAGGTGTCCCTGGATCCAAATCTAGGTAGCACTGCAGTGAGTCAAAAACCACCCACTTCCTACTGAAATCATACGCACTGCCATTCCAGCATATTGTCCTCTGTACTTGGTTTTTGTTGATGCTGTGGTTGTAAATTCTCTCACAATTCACAACCCATTTATCATTAGTTATTTGTTATTGGAAATGTCAAGCTGTGAATTTAGCTCATCAAAAATACTAATTATCTTGATTAACTGGGTCTACCAGCTGTTTCCTACTCTTGGGGAAGAAAAACAAAAAGTGGAAAAGAACATGCATTTACTAAACTATACATATACTAAGTACTATGTGCCTGACACAGCGCCGGGAACTCTATACTTAAAATTAATTCTCACAGCAACCACATAACACAGGTATTTTATCCCCAGTGGGTGAGAGGCTCAAAAGATTAGGCTATTTTCTCTCATTTGAAATGCCAGAGAATGACAGAGCTAGGGTTCAATGAAGATCCATCTGACTATGGAGCCAATAATCTTAAAAAGATTAGATTTTTATCTTGAAAATATGGTTTATAAGTTTATATTAAAATTCAGTCAAGAACATAATTCTCCTGCTCATTGGCTGGTGGTATGTGAATCATCCAGGATACAGTCCTATATTTGAATCTTCAGAGTTGGAGTTCAATTAGTATTTTTCTTTTCTATGCTCCTCAATGCCCTTAATATATTCCCAGTGTGTATAAGCAACAGCCTGTAAATTGTCATGGATAAGTCATCTAACAAGTTTAGAACAATGAACAACTCATTTTCTGAACTGAGACAAACAAAGAAGCTAAATTCGGTATCTGATCCCTGTGGGATGTCATGGGACATTAGGTATAGAGGAAGATTATGGATGCTGGCAGGCCAGAAGAAGCTGCCAGGGTTCTGTTACCTAAAGTTATAACCAAAATCTACACTCATGTAAAATTTATGAATCTTTGAGAAAAGACAAAAAAAAAAAATCCTATGCGTTTATGAGTAGAAAATTTATTCTGCCAGAACAGAATGGGAACACTCTATCTCAATAGACTACTGAAGTGGTCCAAAGATAATATAGAGATAAGGGGAATGGTTACTTAGATTCTACAAGATCTGAAAATGTAAGGATTTTTCTTAGATTTTTTTTGACCCATATTTGTTTGGGGACTTAATGTAATAAATATTTGTTTCTTAGTCTTTGCTACATCTCAACATAATTCTATTATTGTTTAATAACTTCTCTTCTGCTTTAAGCTTTAAATCAGTGATCAGCTTTAAGTTTTAAAAGTGCTTTAACCTTTTCTGTAAAGGGCCTGAGAATAGATACTGCCAGCCTTGCATGTTCCATGGTCTTTAATGCAGCTATTCACCCCTACCATTGCAGCGTGAAGCCGCCAGAGATGCTATACAAAGGAATGGGCAGAGATGTGTTCCAATACAATCTTAAATGTAAACACAGGCTGTGAACATAGCCGGTAGTTTGCTGACCCCTGGTTGTAAAATTAGCTGAGTAAATTAACTAAAGCATTTTAGTTAAAATGTAATTTTGACTATAGAAGCAAAGTTACCTCCTCATCTTCTCTAGTCACTTCTCTCCAAAAATAACAGCCTATGTAGATCCACTTTTGGTGGAGGGTAAGGAGGTTTGGTGGTTTTTTCTTTTTTGTTTTTTTTTTTTCATCATTATTTGTAGAGACAAGGTCTCACTATGTTGCCCAGGCTGGTCTCTAACTCCTGGGCTCAAGCAACCCTCCTGCTTCAGCTTTGCAAAGTGCTGGGATTGCAGGCATGAGCCATTGTGCCTGGCTGGGATCCCGTTTCTGTACAACTTGAAAGTAATCAAAGACAATGTATTAGATAAAACTAAATAACTATTTATACAAATAATAGTGCCATTATTTTATATTAATTTTCAGGAAAAAGAGCTATATTAACTGAATGCCACTATTTGTATCAAAATCTAACCACAGTAACTAGCAGAAGAGGATACTCAAAAACAAAAGGAAGACAATAAGAAATGGAAGATTATAGATTAGATCTGAGGATGGCATAGAACTATTACTAAAATACGTTATTCTGGCATATATTAGAATTTTAGTATTGGACTTAGATGTTTGCCATCATATAGTTTATAATAGACCTTTCCATTAAACATAATCTCTCTCATTCACACTGGATTTCAACGTTGGTACCCAAGTCCAATATTTTAATTCTTATCTTCCTGCTTAATCCAGCTGCAGCAGTATACAATTTACTAGTCAACTTTCTTTGAAATAATTCCTTTTCCTGTACTGCACAGTACTATAATTTCCAGGAAATGTACTGAACAGTGTTTTTTAATTAAAGCAAAAACAGCTAACAGGAAACAAGTTGTGCTTACTTTAAGATAGTTAAGTGTTTAGTCTCATTAAATTACATATGTATAAACAAACTAATTAGCATTCTTCATCTGCTCAACTGATGAATTACACTATGAAGCAGATGCATGCAGTGTTGATACCTTGGAAGTCTGTTTGTCTTGCTTTTGCCTGCCAGGAATACAGAATACGCCTCAACTAATCTAGTGAACATTTTTATGGGTAACGTTAGCAATAACTTCAGAAACGGTTTGGTCAGTTGATGAATTCAGTACATAGCTGGTTGTAGAAAGGGTAGTAACATGGTAAGGGAAAAACAAATAAATTAAAATAACAAATTTGGCAACAGGCCTCGGCAAGCAGTGGAATACGATGTTCTCAGAAACTGGAAGAGGTACTTGTCATCCCAGAAGGTGATGATTAAACAGCCTCCAAATAAACTGAATGCTCTCTCTCTTTAACTGGTGAGTGATTAACTGCTATGGTGAGAATAATGACCCAGCTACTGGCCTAGTATTAATATCAGAGACAGATTATTGTTTAAGTAAGGCAACCATCAAATCCTCAATCATTTAAATTATAGAATTTAATTAAGTGTAAACATCTTTTTTTTTTTTCTTGAGACAGAGTCTCACTCTGTCTCCCAGGCTGGAGTGCAGTGGCATGGCCCTCTGCCTCCTGGGTTCAAGCAATTCTCCTGCCTCAGTCTCCCAAGTAGCTGGGATTACAGGTGCTGCCACCATGCCTGGTAATTTTTGTATTTTAGTAGAGATAGTGTTTCGCCATGTTGGCTAGCCTGGTCTCGAACTCCTGACCTCAGATCATCTGCCCACCTCAGCCTCCAAAAGTGCTGGGATTAGAGGCATGAGCCACCGTACTTGTCCTAGAATTTAAATAAGCAGGAATATCTTGTTTACTACATGTAAAAAGGTCATGTAGACTCAAGAAAAGCATCCCTTACCATACTCTCTGATACACTTTTCTCCAAAAGCAGATCTTAAGGAACAGATGAAAAGTTAGAAAAAGACACTTTTCAAAAGGAGGTATACATGTGACCAACAATCATATGAAAGGAAGCTCAACATCACTGCTCATTAGAGAAATGCAAATCAAAACTGCAGTGAGATATCATATAACACTAGTTAGAATGGCTATTATTAAAAAGTCAAAAAATATCAGAGACAGGCAAGGTTGTGGAGAAAAAGAAATGTTTATATGCTCTTGGTGGGAGTATAAATTACTTCAGCTATTGTGGAAGACAGTGTGGCAATTCCTCAAAGAACTAAAGACAGAAATACCATTTGACCCAGCAATCTTATTACTGGGTATATACACAAAGGAATATAAATCATTCTATTATAAAGACCCATGCACATGTATGTTTGTTGAAACACTTCACAATAGCAGAATGTGGAATAAGCCTAATTTCCCATCAGTGATAAACTGCATAAAGAAATTGTCATTCATATACATCATGGAATACTATGCAGTCATAAAAAAGATAAGATTATGTCCTTTGCAGGGACCTGGGTGGAGCTGGAGGCCATTATCCTGAGCAAACTCACCCAGGAACAGAAAACCGAACACCACATGTTCTCACTGATAAGTGGAAGCTAAATGATGAGAACACATGGGCACATAGAGGGGAACAACACTCACTGATGCCTTTTGGAGCATGGAGGGTAGAGGGAGGGAGAGGTTCAAGAAAAGTAACTAATGGGTAGTAGGCTTAAAACCTGGGTGATTAAATAATGTGTGCAACAAACTCCCATGACACAAGTTTACTTATGCAACAAACCTGCACTTGTACCCCTAAACTAAAAATAAAAGTTAAAATAAATAAATAATAAAATAAATATCCAAAAAAGAAAAGAAGGAAGAGGCAAGCCTAAAAATTATGTATCCATCATAAAAGCAATTTGCTCTATCA